ATACAGTTTATTTACGTATTCATTATATACGCATTCGTACTATTATTAGTAAATAGATTTGTATTTTATTTGGCTCATTTTGTATTTTCAATATCACTCGCAATTTATATTTCAATTACATTTTAAAATAATCACACACAAAATCATATTTAAAGAAGTCCATCCGAATACATTTCAGATAAAATCATATTTAAAAAAGTTCAAACAAGTAAGGATAAAAAACTAAGGGAAATATTTTTACCTTTTTTGAAATATTTTTTCTCCCATGATTCTCTCCATTATGTTATTAAATATTAAAAAATTGTATTCTTTCAAATTAAATAAATACAGTCATTATTATAACAAACCAAAATATTGACATTTTCAATAAATATGGAAAGTGTTGACATCCTATTAGATGCTAAAATATTGTTGTTTTGAAAAATTTCCCTTTTTTGTATATATTTAGTAGATGTCGAGCCCCCTTCAATTAGTTCGTGGTTTACTTCTTCAGATTTTGAACCCCCTTATTAAAAATCCTAGCTCCGCCACTGAGTATAAGGATCAAATTATCTTATTTTGCTAAATATTGGAATATAGAATTTTTTTAAAAAAGAAATAAATTATAAATGTTAAAAATTACTAAGACACAATTATTAAAAATGCATAATATTAAAAAAAATCTATAAAAAGAATTATCGTCAAAGAAAAAATCGCATCACAAAGATTGAATGAGAAGGAGTATGCCACATTAACAATCTATTTTTATCCTCTAATTTCATTACAAATAAAAATCACATAAATATGAAGTATAATATTTAGTATAGTTTAAAACAGAATTAACTTAGTATTTGATTTATTCTTTTACACAATTCTACATACTTAATGTCAAAAACAAACTATTCAGAACATTATATTATTCAAAGTATTATATTATATTATTATATATGAAATAGAGTGCTCTTTTACTCGACTTCCTCTTTGCTCAAGAGAAAGGACAAGTTGGCAAACAATTAATGGAGTAGAAAATAGAAATATTGAAGAAAAAAAAGTAGAAGGAAAGTAGGAATTATTTGACTTTACGATATATCAATACATTGCATAAGAGTGATGTATTCAAAAATAGGAGAGGAGTAAGAATAATAGATTTTTTAAAATAATTTTTTTAAATGATAAGAAATTTTAATGAATATGATAAAATAAGTTAAGTGTTTTGCTAATTTTTTCTAAATATATCAATAATATGTAAATTTAGAGCATCGATAGAAAAAATGTCCATAAAGTGGACATCATTAGAAATAGATATATTTTATTATAATCACCATATACTACTATATATTTCCCCACCCCTACCCACAACTAGAGATGGACATGGTACGGTTATCATATCAGAATTAGAAATTTTAATACTGTGATTTGAATATTATGATATTTGGTATGTATTTTTAAAAAATTTAATAAAGCGTATGTTGACCTTATTAGTTATTAGTACTTCTTTGGTATAGAAAATTTGCTTTTGAAAAGCCCCCATTGAGGGGAGAAAATTTGTTTTTGAAAAGACCCCGTCGAGGGCAACTATTGTTTCTATATAATCCCTTAAGGGTCGTTTACTAGCTAGATAAGATTCAAGTTATTCATATATTATTTTTTATATGCTTTATACGGTATTTTGTAGGTAAATAGAAAATAAATTATTCATGTATAAAATTAATTAAATATTTTGAACTTGCATAACTAATACATGTATAAGTTATGAGTGAATTTATGTATTATTTTATGGAGGACACTACATCAAAAATGATCTTTAGTGGTAATTAATTAACGACAATAGCTTAATTGCCACTAAATATGTACTTGTAACGGCAATTAACACTCTTTATATATGTCCCTAAAGCCTTTAGCGTAATTGGATCTAATGACAATTAATTAATGTCGATAAAGGCTTTAACGCTCTTTGTTAATGTGTATATTTATTGCTGCTAAAAAGTGTTTTTGTTGTAGATAGAAGGTGAAATAACTAATGTCGGCATAAACTAATACATAGATTCACTCATAACTAATCTTTATATTACTAATACCCGCATAACTCTAACTAGCTACTAAACGACCCCTTATTGTTCTCTCTATATATATGGAGAGAGAAAGAAAGAGAGAGAGAGATTAACAGTCAAATATTTTTTTGCTTAGAATTGATTTTTGGGCAGATATACAAGTAATTACCTGATTATTTTCAATATAAATCATGGTTGAAACATGTTCATTATTTGAACTTAAAGAGTTTTATAATTTCTTTTATACAATGACATATTCAGAATTTTTATTAAGAAAATAAAAAATATATGAACAAGTTAAAATTCAACACCTAAAACATATACCATATAATTTATTGAGAAACTATTCCTCAAAAGGTACTTTTCATAAAAGGAGACACATAAATTTATGTAATTAATTATAAATGATGACTGCATATTTACTAGGTTTTTATTATTAATAAAATTCTATTTTAAGATTCAAAATTGACAATCAATAAAGAGAGGTGAAGTTGGATTGTACTTTGGTGTGACATGTGGGCCAACTAAATGGGCTTTATTGGACCCACAAATAACAGGCTTTAATTGGTCTGTCAGCTTGGAACGCGGGCTGCGGGCCCAATGAATGAGGCCCAGAATTGATTAGTTGGACCTCTAACTTAAGTAGCAACAATAAAGTAAGGGAGTTACACATTTGACCGTTCGATCAAAAATATTTACATCTTATTTGGATGGTTGTCATCCGTTGTATTGTATTATTAGTTTAAATGTAATGTTTGTTTTGACTATTAGTTAAATATTTTGTATCATATCATTTAAATTCATTGTCAAAGGACAATAATTAGACTCATTTTGTGTAACGACCGATTTGATGTGATTGTATCGTTACCTTAATATTTCCTTCTCATTTTGTCTTTCCTTATTATTAATAATTCCATTTTATTACTTACCCTACCTTTTCATTCATCAAATTATGAATGTGTGAAGTTATACAACGACATAAATCAATAAATCTATCCAAACATTGTATTAATTAGAAAACAATACAGTATAATACAATACACTTCGAAAAAGGATAGTCTTGTATGTAAGCACAATAATGAAACAAGGCAAACCCTCAAATGACCTATCTTAGATTAGAGGGATCCTTACTAGTGGTGACCTTTTCACTCTTCCACCGACTGATACATATACCATGTGCTTGTCAACTCACGCCTAATGTACATATATTTATATTATCTATTGTTGTCTATCTTTAAGTGAACGACTATTTATGTTAGTTTCTCAATAAAAAAAACGTGTTAACACAAAAAGTCACATTTTTAGAGTGTCGGGTGTGACATAGGATTTTTATCACTAAATTTGTTATACAATTAAAATTATGTGTTCATATATAATAATTTTGAAGTTATTGCAACTTTTCACATAAAAACATATACTACACATTGAAAGTATTAATAAAAAAATCAAAATTTTCCAATATTCCTATAATGTATTTATATCGTAAACATGTTCAAATGCAAACATGCCCTAGCTTGTGAAAAAAAAGTGTCGGCTCAATAGATATGTGTCCTATCTTTGTGTAAACTCTACCAAACATGAGACATGACATGTTTGTGTAGGAGTAGTATGGGTGTCAGAAATTTTTATTAAAGATAATAAAATATAAAAAAAGTAAATATATAAAGGATTTAAAAAAAAATCAACATCTGTTATATATATATATATATATATCTAAAAAATAATTTAATCATTTATAAACGACAAAATTTTCTATATGAACCTCTTAGCTCTACCTTGCTCTGTCCCTGACTAGAATAGCCAAGTAATTTAGTGACGTGATTATACTTATATGATAATTTTATACATGCAATTTTTTTTTATAGTCAGTTGTAATTTAAAAATTGTTTTGAAGAAAGAATATTTGTTGAATTGTGGTCACAACTTCTATAAAAGCTTAAATTATTAGACAAATATGTCAATATATTATATATGTTTAACGTGCCCTTCACGTAGTTAACACACTTTGGTTTCGGATTCGGAAAAACCCACTAAACAAATTTTAAAGAAATAGATTTTCGAACTCATAAACATCAAATTATATATCCGCTTTTAACCTCATATGCGTGCTTGATTATGTTTTATGAGCCAAATATATATGTGGGGATTCATTTTTATTTGTTTCAATTTTATTCATTAAAAGAAATAAAATTCTACTATAATAATTATTAGTTGAATCATCGAATTAAATTAGATTATATCTTTAGAGAAAAGAGGCTACATAGAAACTCAATTCCTATTTCACTTCTCAAATTTTGTAGTGCTTCGTTCAACATTGGACTATTAATAACAACAAACAAAACTCATATTAATAAGTAGGTCCATTCCCATATTGGACAATGACATTGCAAAGCAACATATATTAAAATAATTTTGAAAAATAATTCAACAGTCAAATTTTGTATATTCCTTTTTATTAGCCTGAGTTGGACTTAAATTTTAATTTCTTTCTTTTGGTTAAAAAAAACCCGCATTTAAATTTCTTTTCAATAGTGTCTCGTTCAACTTGCACATACAACTAATTTATTTGATATTGATTATCTTTCATCAATATACATATACTAAGTAATTTTGATTATCAAAAGACATAAACATATGGAATTAATTCTTTTCTGAATAGATGTGAAGAAATACCTATTTTTATTCTTGTTTCTAGCTTTCTGCTGAAATTTGAACTTCGATTTTCATTTTTTTACCTTCTTCTAACCACTAAAGAATATATTTTTTTTTCCAAAAAGACGAAAGGAAATCACCTACCAACTCGATTAATACTTTAGGCTCCAAAATAAGACTTGAAAAATTAAACAAATACAATTCAATGCCGCCCATGTGTTTTATTCAACATAGAATTCTAAATTCCAAATAGAAAATTGAACATTTTTTTTAAAAAAATTTCAACCTATATATGTGCCAATTCTTTTTTAGCCAATTAACCATAATTACATACAATATCAGCATAAATCATTAGTTTCTAATTTTAGCCACTAATTAAACTTTTAGTTTTAATAGACCAATATTTGATTATTCATAATCATTATGGGTGTTACAACTTTTACTGAAGAAATTACTTCCCCTGTAACACCAATTCGTTTATTTAAGGCTTTAATTGTGGATTCAAAATCCTTAATACCAAAATTATTGCCTCAATTTGTTGAAAATGTTGTTTTATTACAAGGAGATGGTGGAGCTGGAAGTATTGAACAAGTAAACTTCACAAAAGGTCAGTGAATATCATCTTTTATTTTTATTTTTTGGTTTTCCTACGAGTATCGTATCTATATTGAGACTCAATTAATTTGGATTTACGTTGTATAAGGTCTATTGAAGAGAGAGCCGCTTTCTATCATGATTCTTTTTCATATCCTGAATTCAAATCAATATTAATTTTTTTGATATATTTTAATTTCTTCAATAACTTCACTAGGAACTTTGGTTCAAGATTTTTGGGCATATATATGTCAATTTTTTTTGGCAGTCAAACACCTCATGAAAAATATTTTCTTGAAAAATGAATTCCGTTTATAAGTATGGGAAGTTATTTTCTTCCTTAGATGAACATTATTAATTAATGTTTTTCTTGAAAAACAATGTCAGGCAATCAACACCGAAAAATGACTTTCTCATGAGAATTTTTTCTTTAAAAAAATGACTTTTGTCGTACCAAACAGGTAAACAACCCCTCAAATGAACCTCAAGGAAAAGTAATTATACCACACTTTCCCCATAATCTCTTATCAAATGGTTATATATATTAATTTCCATAATGATTTATTTTGGTTTAATTTTCCTAATTTTACAACGATAGAGGTAAAACTGCATACACACTATCCCCTCCAGACATGAAATTTCACAAGTATATTGTTGTTGACCTTTTTTTGGTTTAATTTGCAGGTAATCCTTTTGAGTTTGTGAAACATAGAATAGATGAACTAGATAAAGAAAATATGGTGTGCAAATACACAATGATTGAAGGGGATCCATTGGGACAAAATCTTGATTTTATTTCTCATGAAATAAAAATTGAAGAATCCAAAATTAATATTGGAGGATGCATTTGCAAAATGACAACAAATTATCATGGAATTGGTGATTTTTTTGCCAAAGAAGAAGATATTAAAGATGGAAAAGATAGTGCTATGGGAATTTATAAAACTGTTGAAGCCTACCTAATTCAAAATCCAAATCTTTATGCTTAGTTTATTAATTAACTAATTAAAATTGTTTCATGTTAATTAAAATGAAGCCTATATGGTTTGGTTCTTTTTTTTAATAAATATTTTTGTTGTTGTTGTTGAAGATGTATAGCATTTCAACCATGCTATAAAAAATTGTATTCAATTGATGTAAGTTAAATGTTTATGTTGCACTAATTTAGTTCCATACACTTTTTAATAAAGGACAATATTGTCTGATTTGAGCCAAACTCGCATGATTTTTTCTTAAAGGATTTTCTACACTTGATATGTAGTTTTCTTTTTAATTATTAATATGAGATTTTATTCGAATATTATATTCAATAATCTTTCCGTTCAAACTAAATTCCACAAAGTTCATCGCCAAGATTCATAGGTTAATATAGATATTCGTTATTTATCATCCATATAATGTTCAGGTATTTATGGGCTTCGAAGTCCATATACAAGCTTCTCTGACGTGTGCGTCTCTAAACTTTAGGTAAAAGCAAATATGCAGTAAATTGGGCCTCACACATCATCATCGTCATGCTCATACTCATCTCGTTTGAATCATCCCTTCTAATATTGATTGTTGAGCTAAAATCAACTGAAAATGCATTCTTAACATGTTAAGACTTAAGATAATGTCTCCTTTAAACTAAATGAACAAGATTTTCCTCACACTATTAAAAATATATATATTAATTCCTACAATTCATATGTTGTTTTTTTAATCTAACATTATTTTTCTATTAAAAAAAAGCAAAAATCAAAAGATTCACCATTTTGTATGTTGCTGTGAATTAGATTCCTTCTTAGCTTCATATATGTTAAGTTAATATTCCTTCAATCCGAACTTAATATAAATTAATTCATCATTAGAGAGGAATTAAGCATATGATTAACTAGCTAATTAATTAAGTACGTTCCTCTTAAAAGTATATATGATCTTTCCAATCTCCTTTTTATATACTTTATAAATATAAATATAAATATAAATATAAATTAAAAAAGAAAAGGAAAAAAAGTAATTAATTAGTATCAACCCCTTTGGAATCTAATCATGGAGCTATGTGGATATAATTATTACTAATTGTTTTCTAGGGAATGTTATGTTTTTCGATATCCTAGGATTATTTATCATCATGATTAACATACATTTTGAATACTTAATCAAAATAAAAGAAAGTTTAAACTGATTTTATTTCGACAGGATTACTTATCTAGAAAACTAAAAATCGATATTTTCTTTAACTTATTTCATTTGAAAATCAAGTGATAATTTAGCACGTTATACATATTTTCTTATTATTGTTACTTTAGTTATTTTCAATCCACTTCCCAATATTAGATGACTTATAATAATAATAAGACAAGTAAATATGAATGGGGGAGTATTTTCTAACGCCTTACAAAAAGGCTTATCTTGATTGAAAGTTGAGTTACTTATCTTGAGGAACAAAGACCAATTTTCGCTTAATGTATTATTTTTTCCTTTTATTAATAAAGTCTGGTTATATTTTAAAAATTCTAAATTCACGCAAATATAAACACTGATAGAGTAATCAATGACTAAAAATAAGGGGGAAAAACGAAGAGGGAACATAGTTTAGCATTTAAAATTGAAATATATAACATCACCATACATGTACAAGTTCTAACTTCATCGACCATACATGCCAAAGGTGTTGACAAACTAAAAAACAACAAAAAAACATACTAATTCTGAATTCAGAGACGGATCTAGAGCAGGTTCTGCGGATCGAGTTGAGCCCATTACATATCGATACAATAAAACCACACACATATTTCTGAATTCATTGACTCTGATTCCTAAACTCGCTTATGCTTAGTAATAAGTCATAGCTTTTGGTTTTCTCTTGGAATAATCACAAATAAGAACTCCTCCATGTACCTTCACAGCTTCATAACTATTCATAACTCTTTCTTCACTTGGTTTGAATTGAACAACATTAGATTTTTGTGGTTGATACTGGTTATAATAAAAGTAATTTTGGTTTGTTGTTTTAACAACAACAGAGGAGGGAGGAGGAGGAGGAGGAGCTCGAGACCTATTGTTTCCTTTTGGTGCATAGTGTTGTTGTTCATCAAGAAGACCAAAAGCTTCTTGGCCTATATTTGATATGTTTTTCTTGTTTGGTGCCATTGTATTTGAGATTTGGATGCAAATTTTTGTTGTGTGTAAAGAGTTTGGTATTTTGCTTATTATTAGTAGAAAGGAGAGACTTGTTGGTTGTGTTTATTGTGAGGGCTAATGGATATGACTCCTATTTATAGGCATCAAAATGGAGGGGGGGGGGGGGGTAAAGGAAGTGTTATCTTAAATGGTGTTTGCCTATCATTTTAATTTTAAGATTTTACTCGGGTTTAATATTTGTATTGGGGTCTAATAAATTTGAATTCGAGCCGAAAAGTACTATTTTGAAGCGTAAAGCACTTGCAATTATATTCTCAGAACTCGAATATGAGATGTTTGATTAAAGATATTGAAAGAGTACTTAGTGCTTACTATTCCATGACAAACGTATAGTGGTTGTATGGTATTGCCGTACCAAATTCAAAATCATCTCTCGTAATTTTTTAACAAATTTATATGTTTTTTCTGTTTCAATTTACGTGATATTGTTTGACTAGTGATAGAGTTGATTAAGAAAGAAAATAAAACTTTTGAAACTTGTTATTTAAAATAAGTCTTAAACATTAAAGGTAAAATAAAAATTTTAAAATTAAATTATTTTTAAATATAAAGATGTGACATTCTCATGAGACAGTCGGAATAAAAATGTGCCACTTATATACGTGAATAATATATGCATATTGATTTATGGTTGATTTGTACTATACAATTCAAAAATTAATTTAAAATAATGACATAGTAGGTGATTCTCATTTACAAATGTTTTAAAAATAATCTTTTTATTTCATATAACATAGAGATAAAATCTACGTATATCTATTTATTTAAACTTTAATTGTGAGATGACACTCGTATATTGTTATTGTTGTTTGAATTACGTACTCCATGTATACTTTCGGTGTAAATTAAATATTCCATGAATCTTTGTTTAATTTAATTTGACCAAAGTACAGTAATATTGACTAGCTATATAGCAACTAATTAAACCTATATAATTCCTTTATTCTTGTCACACTTGTTGATGTTAAAATTAAGAATAATCATGTGGAAGTTGCATGGTAACAATTAATATTAAAAATAAGATGTTACCTAACATTATCTTTTCTCAATAAATAAAAAATGAAAAGAGCAAAAGATATGATGTATGTTGGTCTGAATTAGATTCCTTCTAAGCTTCATCTAATTTGTTAGTTAATATTCCTTTAATCCAAACTAATAAAAAAGATATTAATTCATCATTAGAGGAATTAAGCATCTGATTAACTGACTAATTAAGTCCCTCCTGAAAGTATATGTATGATCTTTCCAATCTCTCTTTTATGTACTTTAAATAAAAAGAGAAAAATAATTGAATGCTAATCCATATGGCATCTAATATCATGGAGTCATACGAATGTATTTTCCCCCCCTAATTTATCCTTAGTAGTAATTATTCTTTAAGACTATAAACACTTTAATCATGACACGTGAATAGAGTAAATATTAATGAAAAAAAACTATACCTTAATTAATATTTTTTTAAAAGTGTGTAAATAAACAACAGAAGTGTTATAAGCTTTAAAAGGTTGGTCTTAGAGCTCTCAAAAAGGGTCGGCCCAGCTCCATCCGGTCCAAGCCTCGCGGGCCAAAGAATTTGAAGGGCTAGGGCAGGCCGACCCTTCATTTGGAAGGGCCTAAAAATGCTCAACCCAACCCAACCCTAGAAGAGCCGAGGGCTGGGGCGGGCTAGCCCTTTTTTTCTTTTCAAACTTATAATTCTATAACATAAAGAAAAAGAGAAGATTTCAAATCAAATATGGCAAACAATGATGTTATTTCAATAACACTAGCAAAAAATCTAGTGTAATTAGCATGTATCTCGCATACCAGATACGCAAGCGAGATAAGAGACTGAAAGCAAGATGGGAGGGAGGCGAGGGCGCGAGATTTGTCTATGTATCCTAGATACATGCAAATCTACTTGGATAGAGTGTATCTAGAGCAAATAACCTCATTTTGAGTCCATATATTCCGAGATATATGTATCTAGACATACCAAAATATGGTATAATTTATAATATTACAACATAGCGTGTATTTAAGTACTTAGATTATATACTAGTGAGATTATTGTAAGTTACCCTTAAATAAAAAGTTTTGGCCCATGGGCCGACCCTGACCTGACCCCGATCAAGCCTCAAGGGCCAATGACTTATATGAGCCGGACTTATAAGCCCTAGTTTTAAATGAGCTTGAAAAATCTTATCCCAACCCTTCCCCAATAAGGGGTTGGATTGGGCCGACCCCGTGGGTTAAGCCCGTTTTAACGGCTCTAGACTTGGTCTAATGACAAATCCATCAAATTTTAATTCTAATTGCGGCCTCTCCGATATAATCTAGTACTAACTATATGTTACAAATTAGAGGTAAATAAATGATTGATATATTAGAATATGTCATTAGGTATCTGGATTATTTATTTTGAACACGTGCAAATTGGATTATATAATTGGAGAAGGGAATACTTTGGATACCCTAATATTTTATATGGACTAGGTTTGCCTAGTTTTTTCGAAAAAAGGTTCCTCACTATTAAAGTCATCACTAAACAACACTTTCTGTTTTCTTTTTAGTTATTATGTGAATTTTGTTCGCACACTCAATGATTAATTCACAAATGACTCATCACCTTATAAGGTAATCTGGAGATTAACTGTGTATCATTCACATCATTCAAGTATTTATGATTGACACTAGAAGTAAAAAAGGAGAGCACAATTTGTCATTTAAAAGTAGAATATTATTCATCGACCATATATACAAATGCAAATTAAAGGTGTACGTACATGTTACAAACAAAAACACACACACTTAAGACGCTCATTAACACATGCGGACTAGAGTGGGTTCTACAGATTCAGTTGAGTCCATTACATATGTTTACATATCGGTATAATAAGACCACACACATAATTCTGAACTTACTAATTGACTCTGGTTCCTAACTTGCTTATGCTTAGTAATAAGTCATAGCTTTTGGTTTTCTCTTGGAATAATCACAAATAAGAACTCCTCCATGTACCTTCACAGCTTCATAACTATTCATAACTCTTTCTTCACTTGGTTTGAATTGAACAACATTAGATTTTTGTGGTTGATATTGGTTATAATAAAAGTAATTTTGATTTGTTGTTTTAACTGCAACAACAGAAGAAGAAGAAGAAGGAGGAGGAGGAGGAGCTTGAGACCTATTTTTTCCCTTTGTTGCATAGAGTTGTTGTTCATCAAGAAGACCAAAGGCTTCTTGGCCTATATTTGATATGTTTTTCTTGTTTGGTGCCATTGTATTTGAGATTTGGATGCAAATTTTTGGTTGTGTAAAGAGTTTGATATTTTGCTTACTAGTAGTAAAGGAGAGACTTTGTTGGTTTTGTTTATTGTGAGGGCTACTGGATGGGACTTCTATTTATAGGCATCAATTGGGTGCATGCTTGCCTATACCATTTGTTTTTACTAATATCCGTTATATGTTTTGGAGTCTGACTAACTTGAATTTGAGCTAGAAAGTCCTACTTTAGAGTGTAAAGTGCTCGGGACTCTATTTTCTCAAAATTCAAACCTAAGATATTTGATTAAAGATGAAAGAATACTTAATACTTACTATTCTGCCACAACCTTATACAATGGTCGTATTACCCTACCAAATTCAGAATCACCTCTCATAATTTTTTACAAATTTAAATATTTCTTTTGTTTTAATCTATGCGGCACAATTTGACAAGTGATAGTGTTGATTAAGAAAGAAAATAAGACTTTTGAAATTTATTGTCTGAAACAAGTCTTAAATATTTGTGCGGCCATAAATCATTTCATTATTGATACAATAAGTTTTTTGAAAATTAAACATTTTAAAATATAAAAAAATTGACATTCTTTAATTTGAAATAATCTAAAAAAAATGTGCCACATAAATAGATAAATAATAGATGCATATTGATTTATTGTTTTGTACTATACAATTCAAAAATTGAGTTAAAACAATGACATAGAGGTGATTCTCATTTTCAAACATGTTCTCGAAAATAATTTTTTTATTTCATATAAAATAAAAATAAAATCTACGTATTTCTATTATTTTTTTTAGATTTCACTTTGTATGTTGTTATTGTTGTTTGAATTACGTACTCCATGTATACTTTCGGTGTAAATTAAATATTCCATGAGTCTTTGTTTAATTTAATTTGACCAAAATACAGTAATATTGACTAGCTATATAGCAACCAAACCTATAATTCCTTTATTCTTTGTCACACTTGTTGATGATTAATTAAAATTAAGGATAATCATGTGGAAGATGCATGGTAACAATTAATATTAAAATTAAGATTTTACCTAACATTATTTTTTCTCAATAAATAAAAAATGAAAAGAGCAAAAAAAAAAGAAAAGAAGATACACTGTATATTGGTGGGACTTAGATTCCTTCTAAGCTTCATTAAATTTGTTAGTTAATATTCCTTTAATCCAAATAAATTAATTCATCATTAGAGGAACTAAGCATCTGATTAACTGACTAATTAAGTCCCTCTATATGATCTTTCCAATCTCTTTTTATGTACTTTAAGAAAAATAATTAAATGCTAATCCATATGGCATCTAATCATGGAGTTATATGGATCTTATTAATTTTTTGACAAGGGAATATTATGTTTTTAATATCTTAGGATTAATTATCATAATGACTACATGACTGATAACGGATTATACCAATAATTCCACTACTTAATTACTTTTAATTAATCTGGACAAACACCACAAGTGTATATATATGCTCGATTGATACTATATACATACAGTATAAATACTTGTGAAGTTTAAGATAAAATTTATTTATTTATTCTAATTTACCCTTAGTATAGTAATTGTTCACCGAAATATGACTCCGTATCCAAGGGAACTCGCACCCGAGGTCTAATGGTTAAGAATGAAAAAATATTTATCACTCCACCACAACCCTTGTTGGTAGGTGTATAAATGATTTTATATATATATATTAGGTATTTTGATTATTTAATTTGAACATATGCAAATTGGATTATATTATCGGAAAAGGGAATACTTTGGATACTCCAATATTTGTTATGGGTCAAGTTCGTATGGTTTTTTTTCCTCAAAAGGTATCACGGTATTAAAAATATCACTAAATAGCATCTTTTCTTTTTAGCTATTCACTGTGAATTTTGTTCACACACCCCAACAATACTCCCTCTTGAATTGAGTCTCACATGACTTATCACCTTATGAAGTAAATTGGAGATTAACTATGTGTCACCCGTCGCCCACATTATGAGTATTTATGACCACCAAATTAAAACACATAAGCTTCTTATTGTGTGTATGTATCTTCAAGCTACGACTAAAGATAGTAAACCGACTTATAGACGATTATAAGCTGACGAATATTTATCATTATATTGTGGCATGGGACAACATGTAAGTGCAATAAGTTTACACTTCTTGGTATGCCTAAACCATCCATATTATTGATATATTTGGAATATAAAATTATATATGAGGAGTGAATGAGTGATAAGCAGGTGTGGAGTTAGGGGCGGGAGGAAGTTCATTCGAACCCTCTTTGTCAAAAAATAATAATATTATATATAAGGGTTAAACGTGATTTTTGAATATATTTATTATATTTTGAACCCCCTTCATATATAATTGATAAGGCTAAGATGAAAAGAAAATTAAAAAGAAAAAATTGCTAGAGTGCAGATTAATTAAATCATGATAGAAGTAAAAAAGGAGCATAATATAGCATTTAAAAGTGAAATATATATATATAATAACATCACTAAGATATATAGCTTCATCGACCATACATATAGAAATGCAAAAGGAGTACATGTTGAGAAACTTAAAAAAACAAAAAAAAAAAAAAAACACTTAAAAACACTCATAACGAATCTAGAACAGGTTCTGCAGATTCAGTTGAACCCATTACATATTATGTGTATGTATATCAATACAATAAGATCGATCACACACATACATAATTTTGAACTCACTGATTCTAGATCCTGAATTAGTTTATGCTTAATAACAAGTCATAACTTTTGGTTTTCTCTTGGAATAATCACAAACAAGAACCCCTCCATAGAACTTCACAGCTTCATAACTATTCATAACTCTCTCTTCAGCTGGTTTGAATTGAACAATATGAGATTTTTGGGGTTGATATTGGTTATAATAAAAGTAATTTTTATTGGTTGTTTTCACACTAGGCCTTGTATTTTTTTCATGGAATTCATCAAGAAGAGTAAAGGCTTCTTGGCCTATCTTAGATATATCTTTCTTGTTTGGTGCCATTTACTTTGAGATTTGGTTGCTAATTTTTGTGTGTGTGTAAAGAGTTTGGTATTTAATTTTCTTACTAGTATATTATATAATATTATACTAGTAGAAAGGAGAGAATTATTGGTTGTGTTTATTGTGAGGGCTAATGGATATAGAACTCATATTTATAGGCATAAATTAAACCAATGAAAAAAAGGAAACTTTTAAAAAGAAAATATTATCTCAAATGGTCCTTGCCTACCATTTTTTTTTTGTAAATTTTTTCAACCGGTGTTCTGTATATATTTATTTTGAGTCCGACTAATCATAATTCGGGCCAAAAAAATTCACTTGTCGAGGGGTAAAATATTTGTGAATTCAGTCTACGGGATCGATTTTGAGGTTTTTAATTAAAGATGGAGGAGTAGTTATCATCTCATTATGATTTTGTTGATTGCTGTCCTACTTGCAGCTTCGTGATCATATCTATGAGTTTTTACAAAATTTAAAAACTTCCTTCATTTCAATTTATGTGACTTATATAATTTGACTCGGTATGATTTTTATACATTTATGTTATGAATTAAGAGCTTTAAAGTTAATTTACTTTTTAAGTATATAATGTGGCATTTTTTTGGAGACAAATTAAAGAAGATATAGTCCACTTAAACTAGGACATATGGAGTACCTTTTACGTAAATAACATTTGCATACTATTAATTTATTTTGATGTGCATTATACATCATACAATTATTCTCTTTTGGGAATGGGAAATACGTACTGCATATTTGTATACTTTCGGTGCAAATTAATATAGAAAGATAATTAAGATCAATTATAAATATTCCATGAATCTTGATTTAATAATTTAACCAAAATTTTACACTAAGACTAATTAATTAACTAGCCAGACACAAAATATAACTCTATTATTTATGTGTTAATAACGTTAAGAATAATCATGTGGATGTGGTGACAATAATTAATTACTACTAAGAAGAATAGAGCAAACGATTCATTCATAATAGTTGATTATTAGATATGATTAGAGCATCTCATAGATATGTATTTGAATATAATATATGCAAAATTGGAGTATATAATTGGAAAAGAGGTCACTTTGAATACTTTAATCTGAATATATTTTAAAAAAATTGAGAGAAAGGAATAATATGAATTTTTCAAAGACTTCATTTTATGATGCTTTGATTGGAAAACAATGCAGCAAATAAATATTACTAACATGAATTGAGGGTATATAATATTTCATATATTCATAATGGATGCACTTATGGAATATATTATGTTGTTTTTGTATAATGGATGCTCTTATTTTCATTATGAGATTTTGCTTTGCTTTACTGGAATTATAGCCATATACAAAGGTGTCAAATGAACTGATTGGATTGAATTTAGACGAATCAAAATAGGATGAGTTAATGAATAGACGGACTAAATTATTTAGATTAAAATGAATTAAATACGTATCATAAAAAGCTAATCAGGGATTTTTAAGAATTTTTTTGCGATGATTTGTCTCGCCGTAATATACCAACTATAAGAAATTTCTTTTATGTTTTTCATTTAAATTTAAATAAATTAATCAGATTATATTTTCATGAACTAATTATCGCCACTAGCACTTAAGTATCCTACTTGTATATAATGTAATAATAATCATGCCATGTTTTAGTCACTTTTGAGGAAATTAATTAGCCACGTGAATAGATTGAAAGATTCTGAAATTATTAGGATAAAAAAAGGAAATTAAAGATCAACTTCTTTAATATTAAATTATAAACAAATAAATAAAACAGAATAAATATCATTGTGAATCTTTGCAAAAGGCCAGTAGAATCAAGGCTTATTATTGGAAAACTTTGCATCTTGAGGAACCATGCAAAATTGAATATATCTAAAAGATTAGTATATTAGTAAGATTGTTATTATTTCTCAATTTTAATTAATGATGGACAATTGACATATAATAATCGCGCAATCACTTTCATTTTTAATTTTTTAATTTAATTTTTTTCAGAATATCACTCCTAACACTCTTTCGATCTAGTTGGTCACGACCGACACCCCTTTTGAGTTCGAGTCACAAGTCCCAATAATCTATGAGGTCACTATTTTTGAGTTGCCGTGTCGTCTCAAGTGTTGACTGATCTATTATGATATAAAGTGTTGTAAATCGAATAAGAAATTTCAACTTAAAAAACTGACCTATTAAGCGTGAGAGTTCACGATTCACTGTTTTACTTTTTAATATATTCTCTCTCTATATATATCATTTCATGGGAAGAGAGAAATCTATAACATCCGCTTGGGTGTGGGTTCATGAGAACCCAATAATTTTTGTGCAGGTTCATCATTAATATTGAGAAATCTATTATATATGAGAGAAATGTGTTGAAAATTCAGTAACAAAGTAGGCTCCTTGTTCTAGTAGCAGAAATGGAGCTCACTTAAGCTTTTGTTGCGCTTTTGGACGAAGATTCGATTCCCCTCAAGTATTTTTTTTTAAAAAATAAAACTGAAATCATTGAAAATTTATAAACTTTAAATTTTGAATTTGTTTATGCTCAGTGTGACGGTAGGAGTATTGATGGTAATCACTTGTAATTATTGTTGTTGATAGTTAGTCAAATCCTCTATGACATAAAGTTAATTTGATTTCTATATTTCTTAGTTGAATTATAACTGATATTATTATATTATTTAACTCTTTGAAACTTTTTATATACGTAAATTTAATAAAGTTATTTATTGTAAAAAAAGAATAATCTAAAGATTACTCCTCAAATAGTTACTTTTTCACTTTTCACTTAATTTATTTTGGGAAGAAGTTGAAATTTTATCATAACACGTGTATTTAATTATTTGAAGTTTGAATAATAATTGAGAAAACGTACAAAATATTTCTTTGACAAAAAAAAAAGGTACAATATTTCAGTTTATGCACATTATTCATCAATCATTGATTGATCCTGTTAAGTACACCTATATATGATATGATATGATTTCATCGATGATAAATTATGGTGGAATGATTGAATTTTTTTTTATTGTTAATCGGAAAGTTTTTAATTCAAGTCAGCAAAATTAGAAAAATATTATTAAAAATACCATCTTCAAACATAGATCCTGTAATATATTAAATCAAATGTTGGAAAACTAAAAAAAAATTAAATTGTTTCTATTAACATGTTGTTTGAATGATTGTTATCTGTTGTATTTATATTGTATTATCAATTTAAATATAATATTTATTTTAATTATTATTTAAATTCAATTATATCATATCCTTTAAATAATTTATTAGTATTATTAATGATGAAAAGACTCATTTTATGTAAATATCATTTGATACGACTACGTTATTTTTCCTGTGTGAAGTGTTAACATTATCCGCGCATCGGACGGGCAATGGCACGTACACATCGCCCTCGATTATCCCAAAATTGATATTACAAAGTCACTTTCGCAGAATACGTAAGCTTTTGTATCTTCTCTTTTGAGTTTATCTGTGATTTGAGATGGCCAATCGGACTTCGGATCTTGCCGGACGGGTCGACCCGGCTCAGAGTTTCGACATTGAAGCTCTTCTTCGCTATGCATCTGCTAATGTTCATGGATTCCCTTCAAATATCTCTAATTTCACTCTTTCTCAGGTATGAAATCGAAAATTTTAGTTTTTTTTTATATTTTAAATTTAATTTATTTGAGCTTCTTAACTATAGTTAAATTGAGATTAATATATGTTTATAATAAATTTTTTTGCTAGCAAATTGACTTTTTTGTTGTTGTTGTTGTGTGTTTTTGACTGCTCATATATGATGAAAATTGAAAAAACATGATTTTTTTGTGAGTTTTCTATCTTAACAATTTAGGTGCTTGATAGATTAGAATATGCTGGCTGTTAGGATCAAACGCTTATCATCATGCCAAAAAGCTATAGCTTATACCAAAAGCACAACTTTATTACTTAACTAAGTCCACCAAGCAAGCGTCATGTTCGATCATGACTCCGACCCGGGCCACCCAGCCACTCGTGGGCCTTTCCATAGGCAGGATGTTGACATTACTCAACACTGACCAAGGAAGATAAGTGGCAAATAGAAGACCAATTTATCCTTATGGGTAAGGGGTGTCAAATGGACGGGTTGAGGTATACTTGTGGCAGATCAAAATGGATTGAGTTAAGGCAAAGGTTACTTAGGCTCAAAATAGCTAAACAATGGTTCATAAGACGAGCATCTGGCTCTATTCAAGTTTTTTTTTTTTTTGGTTTCTGATAGTTTGTTTAGTTACCTAATGACTTTTTTTTTTTAAAAAAGTTTATGGCTTTATATAACATGTCAAATAAATAGAAAGTTCTTTTAAAAGTATTTTGACAAGGTTTCTCATGGATCAATTTGGGTTACATATCAGCTGACCTAGCGCAACTTTTAGATGTGTTGAATTGAGCGGTGCAAAATAGGTTGAATTGGTAAATGGGTGGGCTATTTTGCATCCCATTGTTATAGGCAATGTATTGTTGCAGGCCAGCAACAATATTAACATACGAAGAGTGACTGGCATTAACTGAAATATGGTGTCCTCATTTGGTCTAGAGATGCAATTATCTAAACGAGATTTGATTAGTTTTAACTTTTAATGCATTACTAGTGACTATCAATTCAATTTTGTTTGTATAATGTCTGTGTCTGTATCAACTTGCACGCACGTCAAATATTCCAACGGATACATATTACCTCCCACCAACACATGTACTAGGTAAGTGTTTTTGTCTCTGTTGGGATTTATACTCCGATCAACCATGGTTTTCAGGCTCTTCATTGATTAGTAGGCCATACTCTCGGGTGTCTGGTAATAACCGATTCCATTTGCTTATTTCCTGAGAGAATCTCACTATTTAAGTATTTATGTTGCTCATTTAAACCCATCTTAGTCCAATATTTAAACAAAATAAGTTCTCTAGCACTTTAAGTTCACTACATTTCCTACTGGCACCGCATATAAATCTCTAACAAAACCAAAGGACTCTTTGCCAACATGACTAAAATTTAATCCTAACTAATTGGTATCATCTTTTTGAGTCTTCTGTTGTGTCCTATAAAAGAAAACTACAAAAAGATGACAAAAAATTGTGGAACACTATACCAGTGGCTATATAATGGACTATATGGAAGGAAAGAAATCAGAGTTCCGTTGAGGGCTAAACGAGATAGTTGTAACTTAAAGTCTAGACGTTTATCTCTTTTAGCCTTTCAGTGTAAAAATGTAGAGGAAGTAGATAGGATAATTAGTTTCCTTAGTTCTTTTTACATGTAGCTATTGTACTAAGATGCATATTCCAAATGGTTGTACTACTCACCATTGCACTCTTTGGGTATGATTATTTAATAAAATTTTCTCTACAATTTCAAATATACATATGTTCCGGTTATGCACTTCTCCATGTCTAACACAGTTGTAGTTGCAAGGTTCTTCATATTAAAAATGTTGTCTCCCTTGTGAATCAGTTTGGGCATGGCCAATCAAATCCTACTTTTCTCATTGAGGCTCGTTCAGGAACTTCTGCTAAGAAATATGTGTTGAGGAAGAAACCGCATGGAAAGTTGCTGGCATCTGCTCATGCTGTTGAGAGAGAGTATGAGGTTGTAAATTCTGTTTCTCTGATGGATTTATTTATAATTACTTACAGTCAATCAGTCATGTAGTTTTGTTTTCCTTGGAGGTGGGCATGGGTCGGACCTTCACATAGTTCTGAATCTTATGATACTTTTTTGTATTACATCGTGTTGTTGCCAAATTCAGCTCCTCAGAGGACTTGATTTATTTTATTCCGATAGTTAATATTTGGTTGTGTTTATCTTTGACATTTTGATTTTTGATATTTCAGGTTCTACATGCACTAGGTACTCATACTCAGGTTCCAGTCCCCAAAGTATTTTGTTTGTGTACAGATTCAAGTGTGATTGGGACTCCATTTTACATTATGGAGTATTTGGAAGGACGTATATTTATTGACCCAAACCTACCTGTATGAATACTGTATTCAACCTTATACTCCAAGATTACTTAAGTTGTGAATTCGATAAATTATATGTTTTCTGTAGCTTGCTTCTTTTTGGTTCAATGATTAACCAGATAAAAAGTGCTGTCCATCTATTCTAGGATGTATCGCCTAAGAGAAGGAGGGATATATGTCGTGCGGTTTCTCAAGCCTTGGCCTCCGTTCACTCTGCCAATGTTGATGCAATCGGTTTAGGTAACTACGGGAAGCGGAAAGACTACTGTAAGAGACAGGTGCTCAAACTTATAATTCTTGGGAAAAGTAGATTTGGATGTAGTTTTTCGTTGCATTGGTTTTAAATCTTGAGATTTGTCATGCTAGGCAAGTAATACAGTGTGCCTCCCTGTTACTCCAAATCAAGAAACAAAAAATGTTACAGCATTTATACCCTGCATCATTCAATTACCCTTTCTGTGCAATATGATTTAAGCTCCTTTGTCCTTTGAGGATAGTTTTCAGTGTCATGCTTATGAGTTCTTCTGTTGTGTGAATAAATTCTCTGACCTACTTCAGGTAGAGAGGTGGGCCAAACAATATCTTCTATCTACTGGAGAGGGCAAGTCCAGGAGAAACCCTAAAATGTTAGAGCTGGTTGATTGGTTGCGACAACATATTCCCCTTGAAGATTCCTTAGGGGAAACAGCTGGTTTAGTACATGGTGACTTTCGGATTGACAATGTTGTGTTTCATCCCACAGAGGTGCAGTCATTGACAGTGTTTGATAAATCTTTTCGTTCTTTCTTGTAGTCTCTGTAATTAATAGTCCTTTCCAATATGTGTCAACTGTCAAATTCCCCCTTCCTTGACCCCACCCCACCCTGCCCCCCAAAAGAAGGTGCACCTGACTTTGTAGTTGATCTTGTAGGACAGAGTCATAGGAATTCTTGATTGGGAGCTGTCGACTTTGGGTAATCAGATGTCTGATGTTGCTTACAGCTGCTTGGTACTGCCACCCTTTTTCAACTTGTAATTCTTTTCTTATAATATTTTTTATAACTAGATGAACCACTGTTAATCTTAATTATCTTGTCAGGATTTTAAGTTTCACAGGACTATTTATGGAGCTGAGTAAGAAAAGTTCTAAATTTCTTATTTCTTCCTGTTTTTCTATCAGAGCTACTTTGTGAATATTTCATTAGAAGATCTAGACGGGAGTGATGGCTTTGAGCGCAGCAGCTTCCCTGAAGGAATACCTTCTCTTCCAGAATACCTTGCAGATTACTGCTCAGCTGCTGTAAGGCACACTTTTCTTTGTCTTTGTTAAAATGTTATTCATGGGAAGAGGAATTTCTTCTATGGTGTTTTCAACTGACTAGTTCAATTAATTTCATCGGTCAGCACTAAAGAATTTGTTCTCATTGTTCAGTTTCAAAAAAGAATTTGTTCTTGTTGTTTTGCAATGAGAAAAATATTGGATAAGAGAGCATAGATTGTGATATGTTTTGGGAATGCCTACCTGTGGTATCTTTCCCATTATCTGAATAATTGAATGCATGGAGCACAATTGTCATCTTAAATTTCATGGCCTTTTTTGTTAGTCTCTAGAAAAGAATCAGTGAAGAGACTTAACTATTCGTTTCCAATTTCTTGATATTCACTATTACATTATCAGCCTCAGCCCCAACACCCTACTCAAAAGAGAAATTGACCCTAGAAAGGCAATAATACAGGAAAGTTAAGCTGCCGTTACATGTTTTGTGAACTCCATTTACTAATTTAATTGTGTAGAAGGTTAATTTACTGTATGTCAGGATTCCAACTGCATTTCTTTGGCTTTCATATTGGAAATCAGGGAAGACCTTGGCCGGTTGATCAATGGAAGTTCTACATTGCCTTTTCTTTGTTTCGTGCGGCTTCAATATTTGCTGGTATACACAGCAGATGGATCATGGTATTGCCTTTTTGACGTGTAATGTGGATGATATCAATTTTTTTTGGTCCATGAACTTTTGTTAAGAAGGATTAATAATTCACTTTATAGGGTAATGCTTCTGGAGGTGAACGTGCCCGGTTTGCCGGGGAAAAGGCTGACTCCTTCATCAAAACTGCATGGTTATTTATTCAAAGAAAATCTGTTCTCCCCCTTCACCCACCATCTGGTAAATATTGCTTTTTTATGACTATTCTGGATAAGCTTAGAAAATCCTTCCCTCTAATTTTGTTTCTCTTGCTGACCTTTTAGTTATTCCTAAATCTTTTATGTGTGTATATCGAGAAATCCTCAAAGGTGGCGCAAAATCTTGTATTATTCTCAAATCACAACCTTGACTGCTCATTATTCATGACTTGAATGTTATTTTACTTTCATAGATTCCTTTAACTGGAATTTTGCACCCACTATCCTTTGAAACATAATGTAACATTTGCAGGTCGACCCATAGTTATCTTGTGTTAACTTTTCTCTGTTTGGTGAATTTGTAAATGGTTATTGAAAAACCAACACTTGCCTTGCTTGCCTGCGGAACAACCAAGAAAATTTTCCTACATTTTACAGTTTACCTGATTTCTCAGCCCAGAATTTGTTGTGATTTTCTCTTACAGAAACAACTAGAGAGGATAATATCAGGATTTTTGGAAGTGAAAGCCAAATTCAAGTAACCCCTACAAGTGGGAAATTTGTGCCTAGTGAGAAGGTTCAAGATCTGAGAGACAAATTGATAAAGTTCATGGAGGTTCACATATATCCAAAAGAAAGTGACTTTTACAAGCTTGCACAGTCTACCATGCGCTGGACAATTCACCCAGACGAGGAGAAGTTAAAGGATCTGGCAAAAAGAGAAGGCCTTTGGAACCTGTGGATACCGGTGAGTTTGCAAGGCTTTTTTCTGGCAAAACAGATACTCACTCCATAAGATTTATTTTCTAAGATATATATCTAATATTGTTCACACAAACATGCAGTTTGATAGTGCTGCACGGGCAAGAGAAGTGATCTTTGGCAGCAGAAATGATTCCCTAGTTGAAAACAAATTCAATCGTTTATTAGGTGCTGGCCTTTCGAACCTCGAGTATGGATATCTTTGTGAAATTATGGGTCGTTCTATTTGTGCGCCGCAGATTTTCAACTGTGGGGCGCCTGATACAGGAAATATGGAGGTAAAAGAACTGTATTTTTACATTTACAGATAATGAGTGCCAACTATTACTGTGATCTTCATTGAACTAAAAGTTGGAGATTTCCACTGCGACTATTGGACAAACAACTTAAAGGATGATAGACTATTTTCTTCAATAAGTAGATGATGGTTTGTTGTCACTTGCACAATTTCTAGAGGATATTGTCGCCAGTGAAAACTAAACCAGATTCCTAGAGGACATTTGCTTGTTTTCTGCCCTGTTCAGTTCAAGACTTGTTATCTTCTAACTCTCTGGGACGCCTTTGTTCTTTCAGGTATTACTTCGGTATGGGAATGAGGAACAGATAAAGGAATGGCTTGTCCCCTTGCTTGAGGGAAAGACACGGTCTGGCTTTGCAATGACAGAGCCACAAGTTGCTTCCTCAGATGCCACTAATATAGAATGTTCCATCAAAAGGTACAAGCTGCATCTTTGAGGAGTAAAAAAGAAAGAAAATTTACCCCTTTCCGTTTATTACTCTTGGGAAATTTGTTATCTTACTATGGTGGTATACTTGAGCATAAGATGCTTCAGCACCTCCATAAGGACCAGTGGGTATATATTGGGACTGCAAAAGCGTAGACTTAAATTCATGTATTAATCAGTTGCAGTTTCTACATTCCGCAACAACCCCCCCCCTTTCTTGGGGAGGCTTGGAGTCCTGAAGGGGTTGAGATGGGGTGCGAAGTGATAAAAACAAGGGATAATGAGAACTTGTTAATGGTTTTTCTTTATTCTTTTAATCCTTGTCTCATGATCAGTTTCCTCTTATTAAGATGCTCCTCGAATTGTGTTACTCTCTAATATTCCTCGGTTCTAATATTCTTTTCCTCCTTGTCTGGATAGGTAGTACTCAATCAAACTTGTTGTTTACATGGTTCGATTGGGCATCTAAATGAGGAGCTAGTCATGTACGCCTTATTATTTTAATGGTGAAGAAACAATTAAATAATCCATCAAATCAGTATCCTAATATTTTCTACAAGTCACCTCATAATTTTTATTCATATATAGCGAAGCTGGATTTCTCAAAACTTGAATGGGAACACTTATATCATGTGTAGTGTGTTGAAATGTAAAAGAAGTTTGTAATGCATGTTGGGATTCAAGTATCTTGCTATCTTGTAAAGTAAGAACCTTTTTCATGAATCTAGAGGGATTGGATTCAGCCTGATTGTTCTGTGTTTTCACATTCACTCAAGCTTTTATCGATATTTTGATCATATTACACTCAAATGCTGGAGTTGTTGAGTTTAATAAACTTAATTATGCGAAAAAAATGCTTTGTATAGACATGGAGACTCTTATATCATCAATGGGAAGAAGTGGTGGACCAGTGGAGCCATGGATCCGAGGTGCAAACTACTCATTGTGATGGTTAGTTTTGTTTTTCAAATGAGAAATGATTGACTTCTGTTCTGTAATTAATTCTTGAATATATCTAGTTTGAATCAATGACAGGGAAAAACTGACTTAACTGCTCCTAAGCATAAACAACAATCCATGATCTTGGTAGACATTAATACTCCAGGTATTACGATAAAGAGACCTCTGACAGTATTTGGCTTTGACGATGCACCTCATGGGCATGCGGAAATATTCTTTGAGAATGTATCCGTCCCTGCGAACAATATTCTACTTGGTGAGGGGCGTGGCTTTGAGATTGCCCAGGTAAAGGTGTTAGCTTTTTGAGGAATCATACGTTTAGAATTTGAGTCTCTTTCTAGCACTATCATGATAAATAGTACATAAATAAATTTCATTTAAACAAACATGATTTCTTTTTTGCACGTTCGTTTGAGTTGCCCCGACCTGGAACAGTACGTTAATGAGGTTTTGTTGTATCACTGATGAAGAAACCACTTTCTTTTTTCTTGATAAGATAAGGAAAATCAAAGGGTCGGGGAGGAGAGAACAAAGAAATATAGAGAAGCCCGCCTTCTCCTTGACTAGGAGTTAGCTAGGACATCTTTATAAGGAAACATTATTAAAATGACAAAAATTGTTAAAAGCCCTTAGAAATTCCTACCAGCAGATTTCCCTGTACACAAAGCGAATTGTCTAAGTTCCCTCCTTTGTCTCATCATTTATCTCATAATCATTCAATTCCGCCCCTGATAACTGCATGTTTTGGGTTCTTTAAGAGAAAATCTATGCAGCATATGGAATGGTCATCTGAAACTTGTTATTGCTTTGATTTTATTCTTGCAGGGTAGGCTAGGCCCTGGAAGGTTGCATCATTGCATGAGACTAATAGGTGCAGCTGAACGCGGCATGCAGATGATGGTTCAACGGGCTCTTGAAAGACGAGCTTTCGGAAAATTAATTGCCGAACACGGTGCATTCCTTTCGGATGTTGCCAAAGTTAGTTTTCCTCCAACTTCAAGCTTGCACAATATTTGCAGGAAACAAAAGCTCATTTTTCTCTTTCTTTCGTTCAATTCTATAGTAATGGTTACATGAATGGCATTTACCTCTGATGTTTGCAGTGTCGAATTGAACTAGAGAAAACCAGATTACTGGTTCTGGAAGCTGCTGATCAGCTTGACCGCCTCGGAAACAAAAAGGCTCGTGCTACAATCGCGATGGCAAAGGTTAGCTAGACCATCATGACTAATGTTTACACGATAAACATCACCGTTCCAATTTTGAATCCTTTACCACGAGTCATTTGATTTACAGGTTGCTGCACCAAACATGGCATTGATGGTGCTCGATACTGCAATGCAAGTGCACGGTGCTGCTGGTGTATCGGGCGATACTGTTCTTGCTCATCTCTGGGCTACTGCTAGGACATTGAGAATTGCAGATGGTCCTGATGAAGTACACTTGGGGACAATCGCGAAAACTGAGTTAAGGAAATCCAGGCTTTGAAAACCTTATATATTACTCGTATATGTATCGCGAAATACAATATAAAATAAAATCGAAAGGGTGCTGCATGAAAAAATAAAAGGTTGTATACCATAGTCTTGTAAACTATAGAAATCTACATACTGATGGTGAAAATTGATTCAGCAAGTTTACAACTTAAATATTTTTAGAAACTTAATAAAGTCAATAAATATTTCTTGGGTGTTTTTTTTTTTTTTTTAATTTTGTGTGTGTGTGTGTGTGTGTAATAGGCCACAAAATCAATTGATCCCTTTTCTCCACTCCCCTACTAAAAATAAAAATAATAAAACATAAAATTAAATTTGTGGTAGACAAAGAAACCAGTTGAACAAATCAAGAAAATCCCATGTAATAACATTCCTACATTAAACCTTAATTTTAGCATAAACCAAAGAAAACTAGGAAACTCTCTTCCCCTCGTTAGGATAAAAAATTCACATCCTCAAACAAAAAAATACCAATAATGTCATTCATAATTCACTATAAAAGTTGTTTTCATTTTTTTTGCAAAATTTCAAGCCAAGGGGGGAGCAACTTGCCTCTTACATAATTATTAACCCCATATTTTTATTTTTATTTTAATAATTATGGGGGTTAAGAAGGTTGCAATTGGTAGCATTGCTTCACTTCTTCTAGTGGCTTGTGTGGTTGCAGCAACCATCTCAATTACCAGCAAAAGGAATGAAGATAATTCATCCAATAATAATAATGATTCTAAAATTTCAACTTCTACAAAGTCTGTTCATGCTATTTGTCAACAAACTGATTATAAACAAACATGTATAAACAGTCTTGCTAAGGCTAACAACACTCATGATCCAAAAGACCTACTTAAGGTTGCGTTTAGCGCCGCGATTAACGATCTCTCTGACGTGATCAAGAGTTCCGCCTCGTTGATTGACGAGACCTCGAAATATCCCCGGACGAAAGACGCGTTGAAGACGTGCGAGGGCCTCCTCGACGTAGCGATCGACGACGTGAGGAGGTCATTCGACGAAATCAGCGTGGTCGACGCCAATAAGCTCAAGGATTACGCGGACGACCTCAAGACCTGGCTCAGCGCGTCCATCACTTATCAGGAAACGTGTCTGGACGCTTTTGAGAACACGACTGGTGAGACCGGTGAGAAAATGAAGAAACTATTGAAAAATGCAGGGGAGCTTACGAGTAATGGTTTAGCTATGGTCTCCAGCTTCGATCAGGTCCTTACGGACCTGAACTTGAAGGTCTCCGGTGTAAACCGGAGGTTATTAAATGCTCATGAAAGGATGCTCCATGAAGTTAATTCTAATGGGCTAAAGCCCAATGTTATTGTTGCTATTGATGGTAGTGGACAATATAAGTCTATTAATGAAGCCCTTAGAGTTGTGCCCAAAAAAAATACACAAAAATTTGTCATTTTCATCAAGGCTGGTATTTACAAAGAGTATATTGATATCCCAAGAAAAATGAACCATATTGTATTTATTGGTGAAGGCCCAACAAAGACCAAAATTATTGGTAGCAAGAACTTTGCTGATGGCATTGGCACTTTTAAAACTGCCACAGTCGGTAAGTACTTCTTTCGTCTCAATTTATTTGACACTCTTTTCTTTTCATAACGTTCTAAAAGGTCCTGACGTCGTTATGTTTCTACACAACTTTCAAGAATTCAAATTCATTAAACCATTTAAAGTTCGAAAGTAAAGTCTTCTCGACCTTATGACTGATCTTTAACATGTCATGAGATTTTTGTAGCTATAAAAAGTTAAAATTGTAACTTTTCATTAGACTACAAGTCAATGTTAATGTATTAAATTCGTCTCTCCAGTCAAACACCATCACATAAAAATGAAACGTTCATTCTTTAACATCTACCATTTCATAATGAAGCTATCAATGGAGATAATTTCATGGCAAAGGACATTGGAATCGAGAACACAGCAGGAGGAATAAAGCATCAAGCAGTTGCTCTTCGTGTCTCAGGAGACATGGCCATTTTCCACAACTGTCAATTCGATGGTTATCAAGACACCCTATATGTCCACACTTATCGCCAATTCTACCGTGATTGCACCATAACAGGAACCATAGACTTCATCTTCGGAGACGCCTCATCCGTGTTCCAAAACTGCAAGATGATCGTCAGGAAACCGATGGCAAATCAAGCGTGTATGGTAACAGCACAGGGGAGGAAAGATAGGCGCGGAGTTGGTGCTATTGTTATGCAAAACTGCGAAATTAGAGCTGAGAATGAATTTATATCAGCTCAACCAGCAATCAACGCGTACTTGGGACGACCATGGAAGGAGTTTTCGAGAACGATAATAATGCAATCATTGATTGATGGATTTATTGATCCACAAGGATGGTCAGTATGGGCAGGAGATTTTGCACTGAATACTCTGTTTTATGCAGAGTATGAAAACAGGGGAATTGGGGCAAATAGTAATAATCGGGTAAATTGGAGGGGTTATAAGAAAAATATTGGACAAGAAGTTGCTGCTGGATTTGCCCCTGGAGTTTTTATATTGGCAGATGAGTGGGTTAGATTGAGTGGTGTTCCATATGAATCTGGTTTGATGAAGGTTTGAATACTTTGTAATGTTTAGAATGAATCATTCTCCAATAAAACATTTCATTTTATTGGACTTTTGGATTGCTTTTTCATAGGCATAATGTGTCGTTTAACTTGACCTCAATTGATATTTATGACTTTCAATTTTGGATGTGCACAAGTAGAGATCTGAAATGGTATAAAGTTGAACAAGTATACATACGCGTCTCACGTGACAATTCGCGTGAGCTACAATTGAACTTGATTTGTATATCCCGCGAAGGATTCGTGTATCTATATGTTTAACTTTATACAAATTTAAATGTCTATTTGTGCACGACCAAAGTTGGAGAACATAAATACTAGCTGAGGCCAAGTTAAATGACACGTTTATGTATTATGTCTTTTTACATAAGAGTTTAGCTTTTATATTCTGACGAGCTAATTTAAAAAGTATATACTTATAAAAGGCATCATACATACATGTGGTCTTTAACTTGGTTTCATTTCACATTTATTTTCTTCAACTTTGACTGTGCATAAATAGACAATTAAACTTGTATAAAGTTGAACAAATAAACACACGAGTCTTACATAGCATAATACACATAGGACGCCACATATGACTTAAATTGCCACGTAGGATATGTGTCTATTTATTCAATTTTATACAAGTTTAATTATCTACTTGTGCACACATAAAATTGGAGGGTATAAATATAAGCTGAGCTCAAATTAAAGAACATATTTGTGTATTATACCCTTGTAAAATATATCAAGGTAAATAATCTATAAAAAAATATATGGTATCAAATTAATAGTGTCATAATTATTAATTCATATATTATTATCTCATCACTATTAATTCGAAATAATTTGTTCCCCTGCCAAACGTTCCATAATAGACTAACTAGGCAAGATTATTAAATAGGAGTTGCAAATACAAACGGCTAGCCCGCTCCTCATTTAAATTCCCTTTTCCTCTTCCTCTCTTGTCCTCATTCTCATCCTTTATCGCCGCATTTCTCCCCTTTTCCATTTGAAATATTTCTACTTTTGAACCTTAAAAGAGGAAAATTATAAGAAAATAATGTCAAACAAGTCCCCTGTTTTCTCCATTGCAGAATCTCAACATTTCAATGACGACAACTATGGCTTCGACCCTCAAATTGATTATTTCCAGGTAAATCCCCTCTTCTTTTTTTACCTTCCTGTAAGCTCGAAAGTATATTTAATTGTCTCCATATTCTGTCACCTCTATGTAATATAGACGGATCTAGGATTTCTACAACATCGGAGAATTGATCCTTGTTTCTATAGGTAAATAAGTCACTATTCAATTAAGTATCCTTTGCAATTCCTGGAACTTCTCCCTCACCTCCCTCATTTCATAGGAAACCTCAAAGTGCCTCCATTTCATTATATTCCATCGTTTGATATGAAGATCTTGTCTTGGCTCTTATTCATAAAAACAACCCCATTTTCCTAAGATTTTTAGAAGAATGGGAAAATTTTCATGCTTCAACTATTTGTTTATATAGTGTGTGAAGTTTAACTAATGGAAAGAAAAAGGCCAAGTTATTGCAAAACTACGAAATTTCATTCTATAACGTTAGAAGCTCAACCTAGAGTTGATCGACAGGTTAACCTCAAAATGAGTTGATCGACAGATTAACCTATACCATTTCGCCTTTTGGAAGTATAAGTGTCAATTCTACTAAATACGTACATTAAATATCTAGATTATCAGAAAAACCATGAGTTCACATACACCGTAAAATAAGCAACTCCGCCCCTACGAGTTTGATAGAACTAGTAACTTTGTTTCAAACTCTTTATTGTGTTAAGAAGTTCACTTAACATAAATCATCTGTCTCAAATCTACTTGTCCTGACGTAAAATTCACAACTCATAAACTTAAAATTCTGAATCCGTTTGTAATGCTCATCTAACTAATATATGTAGTTTTATACATATCTCTAATGTTCAAATTTTGGTCAATTTGAATCATTTTATTTTTATATTCAATAATTTAGGATTCTAATTACTGTTTAAACGGCAGATTTTGAAAGAAGCAAGGAAGATTAAAAAACACAGCCACCGGCAAAAATGGTGGAAAAATGCTCTATTCTTCATAAAGTGGAAAAACACTAACGCCGGTGATCTCAACTCCGGCAGCTTCCGCCGCCGGCGTTCTGTTTCCGGCGGAACAACTTATGGGCCAGTGTATGTTACTGAGAGTAGAACTGGGTCGAGCTCTCCTTGCTGGAAAACTCGCCGGCGGTCTTCGGGCCGACTCGCCGGAATTATGATTCCGAGCAAGAAAAGTGATTTGAAGATACCATATATTAATCTTAAGGAGTTCAACGTGGATCGGCAGGATCGAATTTCGAGAATTTCACCTGCTCCCATTTACTTGGTCACATGAAGGACTAATTGGGATTCCTATCGAAAAATTTTATTCTCCATTATACTAAAAATAATACTTGCTCAATTTAGAAAATATATTATTTATTATTTTTAAGTCGTGTGCCAAATCAATAATATACAGTTATTGTTGGACAGAAAATATTTTGCAAAATGCCTTTTAATAAAAGTGATTTCATATTTGAAATTCAAATTCCCGTCATTTAATTCAACGATGTCATGTGACTCACACAACTCCAGACTACGTGGTGAATCCAAAGCTCCAATACACACTCAAATAGTGGATAATAATTTGAGGAGTAATGAGGTAATTAGTAGGAGATAACATAAACACTATGTCATTAAGAGATCGTTTGATAGTTTTATAAGAAATAAATTATTTATATATTAATTTTTATATAATTTATATGATCTTTGGTTAGGTAGATAAGAGATAACTTATGTATTCATGTATAAAATTAATGCGACTTTCATGTATTATTTTATGCAGAATATAATATATGTATAACTAAAATATAAATAATAAATCCTACATAACTAATACATGTATAAAATAATACATAAATTCACTCCTAATTAAATCCTACATAATTAATACTTGCATAACTTTAATCAACTACTAAATGACCAATATTATATGAGTTACAAAATATATTGACTACTTTATGCCCACATATAATATAGGCTTAAGTCATCGACGGCTCCTTAAAGTTGTTTACATAATTCATTTGAACATCTTAACTAAGACTAGTATATATTGGACACTTTAACTATTTAAAACTTGTTCAAATTAAACAATTTTTGATAATCAACAAAAATATATATAAAGAATCTGTGATACACATGCGCTGACATACAAATGACTAATTAAAATTTAACACATGACATTGGGCCTCAAATTTATAAAAAAAAAAAAATTTGTTTGAAATTATTTCAAACACATTTTATATCTATATTTTTTTATAGAAAGAAATAAAAAATGTCAACATTTGTCTTTTTTCTTCATACATTTAATTAGTTGATTCATATTTGAAAGACATAAAAAAAAAATTTAAAACGAAAAAAGCTTTGGAAACTAAATTAAGATGAAGAAATGACTGGTGGGGTTAGGGTGCTTTTCTTTTTTGAAAAATGTGTCAATGAAAGAAGAAACAATATTTTAAGTTTATTATAGTACCCAGTGTCAATAAAAGAAGAAAAAACGTGTTTTTTTTTAAATCACTATTTAGAATTTCTTCACGCGTTTTAAAGAAGTGCAAAATACGATTTTTGCCACATAAGCATTTTTAGGTTTAATAGGTATATGTTTTGAAGAATTTAAGTGTTCAATAAATATAAGGCTTAGTTGAGGTGTCAATATGAATTATGTAAATAACTTTAAGGAGTTGTCGATGACTTAAACCTATAATATATATATTTCATATACTTGAATATTAAAACTTCTAACTCCAGCATATTACATGAAACCTTAAACCAAACAACCTTTTAGTGAGATATTTGATATACGCATAAATTGATTCGAACATTATTAATTACAAACCTGATTAATTTTACAACTTATTGAGAGTAAAGACTAATCTATATAGTTAAAGAAGCTGATATATTTTAACTGGTTAGTTTATTCATGTAATAAAAGTTAAGAATACATACAGAAATATTCTCAAAATTTGAGTAAAAAACGTTTAATATGAAAACTTTATCATATATTCAAATGTTCAACCAAAACAATCATTTTATCACATAGTGAAATTGACAAAATCAACCACAAAATGTCTAAATCACAGGCTAGAAATAATTGTCCTGATTTTGAACTGTCTAAGTTAATTAATGACAAAATCAACCACAAAATGTCTAAATCACAGGCTAGAAATAATTGTCCTGATTTTGAACTGTCTAAGTTAATTAATGAAATAAAATATATCACGTCTTTTAATTATACACAATTACACATCACCTTAATAGTAACAAGCCTTTTAGATTTACAATTCTGTTTATTGAGGCCAGTATATATATATATATAGTTAAAAAGGTTGTCATATTTTAAGTAATTAACTTATTTACGTAATAAATATTAAAAATACATATAAAAAATTTTAAAATTTAAATAAACACTTTATCACGTATTCAGATACTCAATCAAAACAATCATTTTATCACATAGTGAAATTGATGATGATTACAACAACTAAATGTTTAATCACATGCCAAAAATTATTGGGCATACAATGACAACAACAACAACTAATTGTCTAATTACAGGCCAAAAATTATTGGGCGTGATCTAAGTGCATAAGTTAATTAATCACACAAAATATGTCACATCCTTTTATTATACACATTGGTCTCAATAATAACAAACCTACGTAGTTTTTACAATTTATTGAGATTAGCTAACATATATTTTAAGTGATTAATTTATTTATATAATAAACGTTAAGAATACACACAAAACTTTTTTTAAAATTTAAATTAGAAATATTTGATATAAACACTTTATCACATATTCAAATGCTCAATCGGAACGAAGTAAAATTCACATTGACACGTATTGCCTACATTTGCCAACCACACCAAGGCTAATAAAAGCACACACATAGAAAACACAAAACACAAGAGTAAGGAAAAAACAAACAAAATGGAGAAGATAGAGCACAAGATGGTAGCCGTAAATGGCCTAAATATGCATATAGCAGAATTAGGCCAAGGCTCAACAATCCTCTTCCTCCATGGCTTCCCTGAGCTCTGGTACTAACATATTTATCATTAGTGAACTTGATATTGTGTTTTGCTGATCTTGTGAGTGCCTTTCTGTGGAACTTTGATTGGTGAATATTGAGCTTGTTGTTGAGGATATGTAATTGTTAGAGTGTTGTTGTTGAGCTGTGTGCTATGTGAATTATGAACTGTTAAGTTGGACTAATTTTAAGCAGGTTGTAGTTGTGGAGATTGTAATTGATGAATATTGAGCTTGTTGTTGAGGATATGTAATTGTTAGAGTGTTGTTGTTGAGCTGTGTGCTATGTGAATTATGAACTGTTAAGTTGGACTAATTTTAAGCAGGTTGTAGTTGTGGAGATTGTAATTGATGAATATTGAGCTTGTTGTTGAAAATATGTGATTGTTAGAATGTTGTTGTTGAGATATGCGCTTGTAAATTGTGAACTGTTAGGTTGAGCTGATTTTATGCAGGTTGTAGTTGAGGAGGTTTGGTTGGGGTGTAAGGAGTACCCGTATTCTATCCCCTTAGCTTGTGTTTAGAGGTTTACTTCTTGTAGGATTATGAACTACTTGAGATTTGTATAGCAAGATTGTAATTGGGGATTATTTGAATTGTACAACATTTCTCATTCATAGTGGTAAACTCTTGCCGCATTTTGTCTCGAGGACGAGGCTTGGTTTGGTTCTATGATATCTTCCTTGTCTTTATTTGCTTTGGCTCTATGATAGTTAACCCCCAATCTTCCGCAACAGGTACTCATGGCGCCACCAAATGGTCTACTTAGCTGAATGTGGGTACCGTGCTGTGGCACCTGACTTACGGGGTTATGGAGATACTACAGGTGCACCCCTTAACGACCCTTCGAAGTTCAGTATCCTTCACCTCGTGGGTGATGTTGTAGCACTGCTTGAAGCCATTGCTCCTAATGAAGAAAAGGTGTTTGTCGTTGCGCATGACTGGGGTGCCTTAATTGCTTGGCATTTATGTCTCTTTAGGCCAGATAAAGTTAAAGCCTTGGTGAATTTGAGTGTCCATTTTCTCCCAAGGAACCCAAAGATGAATACTGTTGAGTGGCTAAAGGCAATATATGGGGAAGATCATTATATCTCGAGATTTCAGGTTCTCTCTGTTTTCATCTCTGTATCCGTTTCAGGGGATTTTTATATGTTTTCTGGGGTATATTTAATAACAACATATGCAGTGTAGTAACATAAATCGAAGGACTAGTAACTACAAGAGTAATATTACGACTAATAGTATTGACGGAACAAGACAACGCTCTCCTTCTCCTTTGTGGCTTGTTTTATATTTTGCACAAAATGTTTCTCACTAACTAGTAACTTCAGCAGCAGAAAGTTCAGTATGATTTTACCTTGTAGGTACCGGGCGAAATTGAAGCTGAATTTGCTCCAATTGGTGCTAAGTCTATTCTTAAGAAAATATTGACATACCGCAATCCTGCACCATTTTATTTTCCTAAAGGCAAAGGTCTTGAAGCTCTTCCTGATGCTCCAGTCGCCCTTTCATCGTGGCTTTCTGAGGAAGAGTTGGATTACTATGCCAACAAGTTTGAGCAGACTGGTTTCACTGGTGGAGTTAACTATTATCGCGCTTTACCCATGTAAGTGTTCCCCACTTTTGTGATATCAAAAATTTGATTCTATTGTTCGACACATCAGTTGAATGCTTATATAGTTCACATTTGTGTTGTCAAGAGATTTTTAGCTTTAGTTTGAGACATGTTTTCTAGGAAGTCAAGAAAATTGTGAAGTTCATGAACACTATCATATTCTATGTTGCTCAGACTCTCCAAAACACACTCAGAAGCATTTCTAAAGAGTCAGAACAACATAGACGCTATTAGTTGCTTTTAGACTCTCATGATCAACTTCTTCGTACATGCATCCTAACGTTCTCGTCCTATGAAATGTAGAAGCTGGGAACTCACAGCACCATGGACAGGAGCTCAAGTTAAAGTTCCGACCAAGTTTATCGTCGGGGAATTCGACTTGGTTTATCATATACCAGGTGCTAAAGATTACATACACAATGGTGGATTTAAGAAAGATGTTCCATTGTTGGAGGAAGTTGTGGTTTTAGAAGGTGCAGCTCACTTTGTCAACCAAGAAAGGCCACATGAGATTAGCAAACACATCTATGACTTCATTCAAAAGTTCTAAACTTTCTCTAGCGTACGCAGTATTTTGTGTAAGCAGTGTTCGTTACTTGTCATATTTGTGATAGTATTTTTATAATAATAGTTAAGTTAATATATGTGATAATAACTAGATTCACAGTTGATGAATATTTTATTACATATACAAAATTTCAATAAAAGCTACTGAATTTCTATATCATAACTCATTGGAATAGTGTTTTTATTTACTTATCAAACATTCAAAAAAAAATTAAAAATATTTTTTTTCTAGTCTACCATCCATTTATTTTTAAAAAAACGTGGACTATTTATTAATGCTCCACCGTATATGCCAAACACCATGTGAAGCTTCAAGACAAAATGGACAGTTTTTGGACTTTTTCTAATCTAGAAGATATGCATCATTTTTAATCCACCGAATAATAAATTTATTTAGACACTCAAATTATAGTATATTTCAAATTTAGCATCTAAACAAGTATAGTGCATGGTCTCAACGTCTAGTTCACCATATAAAATATTTCATATCCTTTTATTATGCACAACAATCTCAATTTATTTTTTTTCTATTTATTTTGATTGTGTGCTAATTAACTCACTGTGCTAGTTAATTCAGGATCTTTCGAAACAGATGCTCATGACGTATAAACTTAAAATTCATAACTTATAAACTTAAAATTTAGAATCCGCTCGTTCTTAATACTCATCTACTAATAATGAGTACAGTTATAATATACATTCCTCTAATGTTCAATTTTGGTCAATTTGAATCAATTTTATTTCAATATTCAATAATTTGGGATTCTAATTACTATTTAATCAGCAGATTTTGAAAGAAGCAAGGAAGATTAAAAAACATAGCCACCGGAAACGCCGGTGATCTCAACTCCGGCAGCTTGCGCAGCCGGAGTTGTGTTTCCGGCGGAACAACTTATGGGCCTGTGTATATTACTGAGAGTAGAGCTGGGTCGAGCTCTCCTTGCCGGAAAACTATTATTTTCGATAAATAAATATTATTTTATTTTAAAAGATTGAATTTCACCGACCTAAAAATAGTATTCTTGATTTGTTTTTTATATTATATAACACTCCAACAACGTCGTGTGACTCAACAATTTTGGATTACCCGATGAATTCAACACCATGTCAGGTGCAATGAGGTAACTAATAGGAGATAACATAAACACTATGTCATTAAATTTTCTGATAGCTGAATAAGAAATAAATTATCCATATATTAATTTTTGGATAACTTATACAATGTTTGATGACTATATATAAGAAGTAAGTTATTATGCATAAAAATTAACATGACATTTGATTGATAGTTTTGAAATCCACATAACTAACACTTATTAATACACGTGTAAGTTATGAAGAAAATTATGTAGTATTTTATGTAAAATAAAAGGTTGAATAATTAATACACGAATAATATTCATGCATAGCTAATAATACCTAGATTTACTTCTAACTAATCACTACATTACTAATACTTGCATAACTCTAACCAACTACCAAAAATATGGTTATATGAGTTACAAAATATACTGACTACTTTCTCTACTTTATGTTCAATAATATAAAGAAAATGATCAAAATGGTCCTTAATGTATATGTGTAGCTAATAATTTTTGTTAGAAAAAATGATGATATATAGTCATGGATCTTTTTTTTATTTCGAGCTTACAAAGAAAATAACAATAGTATATTTTGTTAGCCACACGTGAAATCCACTATTAAATATAACTTTTTATTTGATACATTAAGAACCAAAATAGCAACACATATACATTAAGAACTATTTTGATCATTTTCTCCACTAATATATATATATCATACACTTTAATATTTAAATACTTCTAACTCCAACATATAACGTGGACTGTTAACCTAACAACTCCTTAGTGAACTATTTAATATACACATAAATTGATTCGAACATTATTATTATCCGAGGTATATAGTTGAAATGACATTGCAATAATATTGAGATCCGTTGCGTTACAAGTTGTTGGGAGTAGGCATAACATAAAGTACGACAAAATTTAAATCTTAGTGACTTTCGTACATGCGGGATTTGACTTAATTAGCTCCAAAAATTATTACTATCCAAACGACGAAAAAAAATAAGATAGATAAACTGAAATAAATAGGGTATAATTTTTTTGGAATAATATTTTTATTTAATTATTAAGTATTTTAAAAATAAATAAGTAAATCACTTCTTTTTCATAAAAATAATTCAGAAAAATATTTTTTACCTGTCAAACAGACCCCTAAATATTTTTTCCTAATACATAAGATATGACATCATTTTTGAAAGACTGAATACATGAACAATCCTTAAATTTGTCAATAATTAATTTAAAGCCTGTTTGGCATTTTTGCTAAAAATTACTTATTTTTAGAAGCATTTTTTTTATATGATTTTAAAAAAAAGTGTTTTTGAAAAAAAGTAATATGCATTTGGCTAATTCATTTGAAAGTGTTTTTGTTAAGCAAATAGTGTTAGACTAATCTTTTTTAAAAAGTGTTTTTTAGAGTCAAATTACGAAAAAGGGTAAATATCAATGTACTTTTAATACTAAGATTATTTTATAGAGAGAAACTATTTCAAATATCTATTAGAAATTTTTTAATGAAAATATGCATATTCAAATTTTCAATCAATATTATACATAAATAAATAAATAAAATAAATATTAATATAATATTAACATGATGACTTAACTATAATTCAAAAAATCAAGAAAAATAAATTTAAAAACTATTCCACAAAGCAAACCACTATATACAAAAAATTCACCACAAAAATAAATAAAATCCTTCATATTTTTAATCCTACAAAAATGTCGTTGTTACATTTATTTCTGATTCTGTAAAATAAGACGTAAAATAATATATAAAATATAAAATAATTATATAAATATAAAATAAAAAATTTATTATATATAAAATTAAAATTAAAATTCTTGTACGAAACTTAACCAAATTTACGATATATGTTAATTAATTAATAAAGGATATATTGGTAAATATTTATATGGGAGGAATATTTTAGTCTTCAAGAAAATAATTTTCTGCTTCTGCTTCTGTTTTTTTCAAGAAGCAGAAATTTTCAACTTCACAACAGTTGACTGGGCTATAGCTAAACTTACCCTTTGTCTAAAGATGTGGTGCCACGAGGTATTCAAATAGGGTTCGCGAAGCATCTGGCTTACCGGTAATTTCCCATTCCCGCCGTCGAGAGACTTTAATAACTATAGCATGCCAGTAACAGGGAGTTTCCCAACATCAGAAAAACTGCTTCTGCTTCCATTTAAAAGTAGTTTTGAGAATTTGCCATACACTATTTTTTTTTTCTTCAAAAAAGTGCTTTTATAAAAAAAAACACTTTTGACGTCCCAACAATAATGTCAAACATGCTCTTAAACACTCAATCTACGTTATATTCCAAATTTAGCATTTAAATAAGTATTCATATGAGACACTTCTAACTTAAATTTTGAAAAAAAAATATTGTGCATGATCTCAACCGTTTAAATTTATTAATTACAAAAAATATGTCACGTTTTTTTATTATACACATTGACCTCAATTACAAACCTGATTAATTTTACAACTTATTAAGAATTAAGACTAATATATATAGTTAAAGAAGCTGATATATTTTAAGTGTTTAATTTATCAATGTAAAAAATACTTATAAAAATATTTTCCAAATTTGAATCGAACATATTTAATAAATATGAACACTTTATCATGTATTCATATGGTAAACCAATGCAATCACTTTTACATAGTGAAATTGACAACGACAACCACAAACACAAAATGTCTAAATCACAGGCCAGCAATAATTGTCCTGATCTCCAACCGTCTAAGTTAATTAATGACATAAAATATGTCATATAGTTTTATTATATACACATCACCTCAATAATAACAAGCCTAATAGTTTTACAATTTATTGAGACTAGTATATATATAATTAAAAAAATTGTTATGTTTTAAGTGATTAATTTATTCACATAATAAATATTAAGAATACATACAATTTTTTTTTCTAAAATTTCAATAAAAAAATATTCAATATGAACACTTTATCACATATTTAGATACTCAAAACAATCACGTAAAATTGACAATGGCAACAACAACTAAATGTCTAATCACCGGCCAAAAATTATTGTGCATGATCTCAATTTATGTCACATTATTTCAATAGTAACAAATTTGATTAGTTTTACAACTTATAAAAAGCAGTTGATATATTAAATTTTAAGTGATTAATTTATCCATATAATAAATATTAAGAATATACAAAAAAACATTCAATATTAAATCAAAAAGATTTAATATAAATACTTTATCACGTATTCAAATGTTCAACTGAAACAAATACTTTTATCACATAGTAGTAAAGTTGAAAATGACACATGTCAGATATTTAGGTACAACTACTTGTATTTATAACAGGCCATACAACCACAGCAAGGCTAATAAAAGTACACACATTGAAAGACTCGAGAGTAAGAAAAAAAACAAACAAAAAAATGGAGAAGATAGAGCACAAGATGGTAGCTGTAAATGGCCTAAATATGCATATAGCAGAATTAGGCCAAGGCCCAACAATCCTCTTCATCCATGGCTTCCCTGAACTCTGGTACTGTTTGTTTCAATCTTGAATTTTGTAAATCCTAAATTATATTAGATTTTCTAGTAGCTTTTGGTGATTTGAGGGTCTTTCGGAAACAACATCTTTAATTTTGAGGTAGGGATAAAGTCTGTATACTGTCTACGTTTCCTAGACCCCACTTTGTAAGATTACATTGGATATGTAGTTGTTTTCTAGTAGCTTTTGTTGAGTTGATGGTCTGTCAAAATAACCTCTTTAATTTTTAGGTAGGAATAAAGTCTGTGTACGGTCTACATTCCCTAGACCACACTTTGCAGGATTACATTGGGTATATTTTTGTTTTCTTGTAGCTTTTGTTGAGTTGAGGGCCTGTCGGAAGTAACCTCTGTAATTTTGAGGTAGGAATAAAGTCTGCGTATAGTCTACACTCCGTAGACCCATAGGATTACATTGGGTATGTGCTGTTGTTTTCTAGTAGGTTTGGGGAACCTATTTTCATTGTAAATTTGGGAAATCATTTTGTAAAGAACCAAATTCTAAGCAAAAACTCATAAATGTAACCAATTACATAATAGGGAACTAAAGGATTGTAAGAACTAGAAAGAGATGAGAGGTCAGATACTCAGAAAGGGGATGAGGGAATATAGACTCTTCATAACAATTTTCATAAAACGTTCTTTCTCATATGTCGTCCTTTTAGCTAGATGTTTTTGTGGGCCTAGGTCCCAAATCAACCTTTGCAAAAGCCTTCTAGTTTTGTTGTTTCTTCTTGACCCAATAACTAGTTGTTTGACATCCATGTAGGTATCGTTTTGTAACATTCATTAGGAACTACTTGAGATTTGTATAATACAGATTGTATGCTCATTCATAGTAAAAAATTCTTTCTGCTTTTGCCTAGAGGACTAATCTTGACTGGATCTCGTTAAATGACTGTGTTGTTTTTTCCCCTCAATTTGTTTTGATTGTATGATCGTGTGCTAGTTAACCCATGGTCTTCCACGACACATTTGAAACTACTTGAACTTTGTATGATGTCGAAATTGTAATTGGAATTATTTTGTACTATACAATTCGTCTCACTAGGCTTGCCTGTATCTCGTTAATCCTTATGTTGCAATACATGAACAATCCCTGCCAATAAATTAATTTAGACACTCAAACTAGGACATATTTCTAATTTAGCATCTGAACAAGTGTTTCTATTAGGTACTTTCCACTCAAATTTTGAAAAATATTATTGTGTGATCTCAACTTTCTAAGTTAACTACATAAAATATATGTCACATCAGTCTCGTCTTATATGCCTCAATTTTACGACTAATATGTATATATAATTAAAGGAGCTGACATATTTTAAGTGATTAATTTATCTACGTAATAGACGTAAAAAATACACACATAAATTCTTTCCAAAAATTTGAACTAGTAGTGTTTAATATGAACAAGTTATCATGTGTTTTTTACGTACTCTTTAACAACACTTGGTTCAATGTCAATGTACTCAACCTTTTTAAAACTTTGAAGTGTTAGTATTCTAAATGATAACAATCATAGTGAAATTGACAATGACAACCACAACATAATCATAGGCCAGATATTTGGTACAGCCACACCATAGTGAAATTGTAGTATGTTTTGGTGAACCGAAGGTCTGTCGGAAACAATCTTTCTACCTTTTGAGGTAGGGGCAAGGTTTGTGTATACTCTACCCTCCCCGGACCTCACTTTGTAAAATTACACTGAGTATGTTGTTGTTTTCTAGTAGGTTTGGGAAATCATTTCTTGTAGGATTAGGAACTACTTGAGATATGTATAATAGAGATTGTTTGCTCCTTCATAGTGAAAAACTCTATCTACTTTTGCCTCGAGGACTAATCTTGACTGGACTCGTTAAATTATTGTGTTATTTTTTTCCCTCTATTTGTTTTGATTGTGTGATCGTGTGCTAGTTAACTCACGATCTTCCAAGGCATTTGTGTGATGAAATTTTAATTATTCCGTACTGTACAATTCATCTCACTAAGCTTGCCCCAATCTCGTTAATCCTTATGTTGTTTTTTCTGTTCTCTCTTTGCTTTGACTGTGTGCTAGTTAATTAACGATCTTCCGCAATAGATTTGGGAAATCATTTTTTGTAGGATTATTAAGGGGAGCCTTGGAACAACAGTAAAATTGTTTCCATATGACCTATAAGTCATGGGTTCGAGATGTAGAAACAACATACTAATGCTTGCATGCATTAGGGTAGACTGGCTATATCACACCCCTCAGGTTCAGCCCTTCTATGGACCATGCATAAACGCGAGATGCTTTTAGCATCGAGCATCCTTCTTTACTTCTTGTAGGATTATGAACTACTTGAGATTTGTATAACAAGATTGTAATTGGGGATTATTTGTTTTGTACATTCATTGTGAAAAACTCTTTCTGCTTTTTGTCTCGAGCTACGAGGCTTGGTTTGGTTCTATGATAGTCACCACGATCTTCCTTGTCTCTATATGCTTTGGTTCTATGATAGTTAACTCAATCTTCCGCAACAGGTACTCATGGCGCCACCAAATGGTCTACTTAGCTGAACGTGGGTACCGTGCTGTGGCGCCTGACTTAAGGGGTTATGGAGATACTACTGGTGCACCCCTTAATGACCCTTCAAAGTTCAGTATCCTTCACCTTGTGGGTGATGTTGTAGCACTGCTTGAAGCCATTGCTCCTAATGAAGAAAAGGTGTTTGTCGTTGCGCACGACTGGGGCGCGTTAATTGCTTGGCATTTATGCCTTTTTAGGCCAGATAAAGTTAAAGCCTTGGTGAATTTGAGTGTCCATTTTTCCAAAAGGAACCCAAAGATGAATATGGTTGAGGGGATAAAGGCTATATATGGGGAAGATCATTATATCTCGAGATTTCAGGTTCTCTCTGTTTTTGTCTCTGTATCCGTTTCATTTGTGTTTGATATAGGGATTTTTACATGTTTTCTGGGGTATATTCAATAACAACATATGCTATGTAGTAACAGAAATCGAAGGACAAGAGTAATACTACGACTAATAGTATGGACGGAACAAGTTAAATTTGCATTGGTAACTTCAGCAGCAAAAAGTTCACTGTGATTTTACCTTGTAGGTACCGGGCGAAATTGAAGCTGAATTTGCTCCAATTGGTGCTAAGTCTGTTCTTAAGAAAATATTGACATACCGCGATCCTGCACCATTTTATTTTCCTAAAGGCAAAGGCCTTGAGGCTATCCCTGATGCTCCGGTTGCCCTTTCATCGTGGCTTTCTGAGGAAGAGTTGGATTACTATGCCAACAAGTTTGAGCAGACTGGTTTCACTGGTGCACTTAACTATTACCGAGCTTTACCCATGTAAGCATTCCTCGCCTTCTGTGATATTGTAAATTTGATTGCATTTGTTCGACACGTTAGTTGTATCATGTATGCTTATATAGTTCACATTTGTTTCGGCTATTTTGGATTAAGGTTTTAGTTGTTGCATTTACAATTGAATAAGATTTGATCTTCGTCAAGAGACTATTAGTTTTAGTTTGAGACATGTTTTCTAGGAAGTCAAGAAAATTGTGAAGTTCATGAACACTATCGTATTCTATGTTGCTCAGACTCTCCAAAATTGTTGCACACTTGTGCCGGATCCTCCAAAACACACTTGGAAGCATTTCTAAATAGTTTGAACAACATAGACACTATTAGTTGCTTTTAAACTCTCTTGATCAACTTCTTCATACATGCATCCTAACGTTCTCGTCTTATGAAATGTAGAAACTGGGAACTCACAGCACCATGGACAGGAGCTCAAGTTAAAGTTCCGACCAAGTTTATCGTCGGAGAATTCGACTTGGTTTATCATATACCAGGTGCTAAAGAGTACATACACAATGGTGGATTTAAGAAAGATGTTCCATTGTTGGAGGAAGTTGTGGTTTTGGAAGGTGCAGCTCACTTTGTCAACCAAGAAAGGCCACATGAGATTAGCAAACACATCCATGACTTCATTCAAAAATTCTAAACTTTCTCTAGCGTATGCAGTATTTTATTTTGTGTAAGCTGTGTTCGTTACCTGTCATAATATGACTCATAAAATAGTTCGAATTTGGAACGTTGTGATACTATTTTATAATAATATTTAAGTTAATATATGTGATAATAACTAGATTCACAGTTGATGAATGTTTTATTACATAAACAAAATCTCAATAAAAGCTACTGAATTTTTATGTACTCGTACGTAGTTGTCATAACTCATTGGCTTAGTATTTTTATTTACTTACCAAACATTAAAAAAAAAATATTTTTTTCTAGCCTACCATCCATTTATTTTTAAAACGTGAAGTATTTTTATTAATGCTCCATCGTATACACCAAACACACCATGTGAAGCTTCCAGAAAAAAATGGACAGTTTTTGGACTTTTGCTAATCCAGAAGATATGCATCATTTTTAATAAACTGAATACAATTTGTTAATAAATTCATTTAGACACTCGAACTATAATATATAGTTCAAATATAGCATCTAAATAAGTAAAGTGCATGATTTTAACGTTTAGTTCACCATATAAAATATGTCATATCTTTTTATTATACACAACAGTCTCAATTGTAACATGCCTCAATTTTACGACTAGTTGAGGATCATTAAAGGAGTTGACATTTTATACGTAATTAACTTATCTACGCAATAGATGCTTAAGAATACACACCGAAATTTTTTCAAAATTTGAATTGAAAGTGTTTATCATATGTTCAGGTCATTGCCAAAGAGAGAGAATCAAGAAAACACAGAGTAAACAAACAACAAAAAAATGGAGAAGATAGAGCACAAGATGGTAGCTGTAAATGGCCTAAATATGCATATAGCAGAATTAGGCCAAGGCCCAACAATCCTCTTCATCCATGGCTTCCCTGAGCTCTGGTACTATTTTCTTCAATCTTGAATCTTGTTAGATTTTCTAGTAGCTATTTGTGAGCTTAGGCCTATTGGAAACAACCTCTCTAACTTTGATGTAGTGGTAAAGTCTACATACAGTCTACGTAGTTCAGATCCCATTTCGTGGGATTACACTAGGTATGTTGTTGTTTTCTAGTAGGTTTGGTGCGCCGAGGGTCTGTCAGAAACAACCTCTCTAATTTTAGGTAAGGGTAAAGTCTGTGTACAGTCTACACTTTCTAGACCCTACTTTGTGAGATTACATTGAGTATGCTGTTGTTTTCAGTTGGCTCATTCAAAGTGACAAATTGTCTCTGCTTTTGCCTAGAGGACTAATGTTCGCCAAATCTCGTTAAATTATTCTGTTATTTATTTTTTCTCTATTTGTTTTGATTGTGTGCTAGTTAATCCATAATGTTCTTCCACAACATATTTGGAACTACTTGAGTTTTGTATGAGCTTTGTTTGGCTGAATCTCGTTAAATCTTTATGTCTGGTTTCTCTTTGTTTAGATTGTGTGCTAGTTGACCCACGATCTTTTGCAATAGGTACTCATGGCGCCACCAAATGGTCTACTTAGCTGAACGTGGGTACCGTGCTGTGGCGCCTGACTTAAGGGGTTATGGAGATACTACTGGTGCACCCCTTAATGACCCTTCAAAGTTCAGTATTTTTCACATTGTGGGTGATGTTGTAGCATTGCTTGAAGCCATTGCTCCTAATGAAGACAAGGTGTTTGTTGTTGCGCATGACTGGGGCGCGTTTATTGCTTGGCATTTATGCCTTTTTAGGCCAGATAAAGTTAAAGCCTTGGTGAATTTGAGTGTCCATTACCACCCAAGGAGCTCAAATATGAATCCTGTTGAGGGGCTAAAGGCTTTATATGGGGAAGATTATTATATCTGCAGATTTCAGGTTCTCTCTGTTCTTGTCTCTGAATATGTTTAATTTGTGTTTGATAGCTATTTTACATGTTTTCGGGGGGACTATTCGATAGGACTTGAATATGACTTCATTTAGAATATTAATCAGTCGTGAAATAAAGAGCAGCACGGTGCATTAAACTCTCCTTGTATACGGGAAGGTTGTGGTGAAGGTAGGATTTTCACTAAAGGATTTCATCGTCTACCGTATATATAGGGTGATTTTTGGGCAAAGAAGTTTGTGGCCGTTTGGGGATGGGCTGGACCACTTCGAGTCAATTTGTAGACAATTCTTACTTGCAAACATGCTATAATACTCGTGGCCTCGTTACACAACAACAACCCTTACTGATGTGACAATACTCCCCTCCTCCTCCATGAAGGAAGTTTTCTAAAATTTGATATAAAAAGGACAGCTCAATCCACAAAATATCCCCCGTTAATAGAGTTCCAGGAAGGGCACACCTCAAGTTATCTCCATGTGACCTATAGGTCCGGGGTTCGAGCTATGAAAATAGTTGTTCTATATGTACAAAGTGTTTCCCGGTAGTACTGGATATGATAAGATGAGCTTATACTAAACACCTATGATCTTAACCTGCAGGCACAAGGAGATATTGAAGCTGAATTTGCTCCAATTGGTGCTAAGTCTGTTCTTAAGAAAATGTTGACATACCGCGATCCTGCACCCTTTTATTTTCCTAAAGGCAAAGGCCTTGAAGCTATCGCTGATGCTCCGATTGCCCTTTCAACGTGGCTCTCTGAGGAAGAGTTGGATTACTATGCCAACAAGTTTGAGCAGACTGGTTTCACTGGTGCACTTAACTATTACCGAGCTTTATCCATGTAAGCGTTCCTCTCCTTCTGTCATACCGTAAATTTGATTGCATTTGTTTGACATGTTAGTTGTATGCTCATATGAAATGCAGAAGTTCAGAACTCACAGCACCATGGACAGGGGCTGAAGTTAAAGTTCCAACCAAGTTTATTGTCGGTGAATTCGACTTGGTCTACCATATGCGAGGTGCTAAAGAGTACATACACAATGGTGGATTTAAGAAATATGTTCCATTGTTGGAGGAAGTTGTAGTTTTGGAAGGTGCAGCTCACTTTGTTAATCAAGAAAGGCCACATGAGATTAGTAAGCACATTTATGACTTCATTCAAAAGTTCTAAACTTCTTCTTTTCCTTTGAATTTTCAGAAAATAATGTTAGCTTCGGATTATCTAATCCCATAATTTGGCTTGTAAGTTCCCCATTTGTGGAACTACATTGGATATGTTGTTATTGTTGTTAATCGACTTGTAAGTTAGTTTAAATTTGGAACGTTTTGATGTTAAGGAATATAACGCCATAAGTTCGTGTGTAATTTGCTAATGCAGAGTGCAATGAAACGTTTAACATAGCAACATCAAATGCTTTTAACTTTACATAAACATCTCATGTTCTGTTATTTAAATTTTATTGTATCGTATCGTTTGAATTCATTATCAGGCAACGATGAAAAGATTTATTTTATATAACGACCAAATTTGGTGTGATCACGTTGTTACCTTAATATTTTCTTCTTATTTTATCTTTACTTATTATTTAATAATTATTTTTCATCTTTTACCCTACCTTTTCATAGTAGCTCTACCCCGTAACCTACTATTTTTGTAGGTTTATCATTCAAATTATGAATGTGTGACATTATGTAACGACGGAGAACTATACAATCTATCCAAAAATTGTATTCATTAAAACAATACAATACAATACAATACAATGTGATACATTACAATGCGATACATTATGAAATAATACATAACAACCATCCAAACAAAGTGTTAGTAGGGAACATTGATAGAAATTAAATTTACGATTTACTCATAATTTTAGCTCAACGATAAAAGCATAGCAACAAACAAAAGCATGATATTTAAGTAGAAAAGGATAATAATATATACACCCTATATACACTATATGTTTCAAACCTTGCTTTAGTTGATCCATAAAAATTTCTTGACCATAAAAAAAAGAGCAACTTTCACATATAACAAACACAAAATTCATATTTGTATGCTATAGCAAAGTTTGCATAATTGCGCTCCATAGCAAACATAAATATGTATATTTCGCTATACATATACAAAAGAAAGCAGTTGTATAATATGTTTTGGTATACATATACAAAAAGATCAATTGTATAAAGTGAGAGAGGCGAGTGAACGAGCGAGATCTGGGAGGGTGGCGAGCGAGATCTGGGAGAGTGGAGAGAGGGGAACGAAAATATATGTATATATACAATTTTCTCTCGTTTTATACAAACACAAACACACTTTATACACTTGCGTTTGTATAAAAAACGAGAGAGGCGAGGGAGAGAATGAGAGTGGCGAGCGAGATTCACCAGGAGAGAGGTGAAATAGCAACAGTTTGCTATGAGGTACAATTAAATCAAACTATATTTATAGCATTTAATTTGAATTAATATTTTGCTATTATATACAATTTTCCCTAAAAAAAAGAAGCTAAAATGAAGAAATAAGTGTCACAATAATTATTTATCACCTAATTTTTCCCTTGAGCAGTAAAACGAGGAAAATAAGACTACAAAAAAAAGTAATAACGGAGAAAAATCTAACTACAAGTGAGATCATATTTGGGGGAAAAACGACAAAATAAGAGTAAACATGTAAGAATATGATACATCTAACTACAAGTGAGACTAGATTCGTGATTTAAATTTTATGAGTTTGACTTTGACTAACTTTGACCGCCTCAATTAATTTAATTTACTTTATTCAAAAATATTATTTGAGATTTTAATAAAATCTGATTCAAAACTATTAATTTGGATAAAATCATATTACTAATAACTTTATTTCCTTTCTTGCATACTAAACTACATTGATGTGTGTGTATAAATACTCCCCTCCTTTAGGCATAGAGATATTCAAAAATCATGAGCAAGAAAGGACTAAGTGTACTTGAAGGGGACGAGGGTTCAAAAAGAAGTACGACTTCCATTGTCCCGAACATGACAACTGAAAAGAAACCTATTTGTGGGTTTCTCGAATTTTGTTCATTCTGCAAGAAAAAACTCTCACCTGAACAAAACATCTACATGTATATGTGAGTATTCTTCTGTTATTATTTTTTTCCACTCTTTTTCTTCACCATTTGCTTATTTAATAGTGTAATTTTTGTTATGATAGAATTTAAATCGAAGGTTAAATATACTTTATCAAAATTTATTCATAATTGAGGACTAAAAAAGTTACTAATGATATATATATTTCTTAAATGGATAGGGGTGATCAACCATTTTGTAGCGTGGAATGCAGAAGCAAGCAAATATCTTTGGATGAAGAAGAAGCTACAAACACAAAGAAAAAATTGGCTGATCAAAAAGCTTCTTCATCTTCGAAGAATTCGAAATCATGCTTTAGTCCAATGTTCTTTTAGCGATCTAGTATTATTTTTGCAACATTTTGTTTCGATTATTTTGTCTTGTTCCTTTTTTTATATTAGTATTGTAAGGGGATTCATAATTTGAGATTTTTGAGTTTTGATTTAGAATCCTATTATATCATGTTTAATTTACTTAGTTTTGAAGTCTATATTCAGACTTTTTAGATATATTATAAAGTATCTTTTTTCGATGGAGTAGAATCATATTTTAAATATTTTATAACAAAAAGGTACAATTTGATAATAATAATAATAATAGGAGTAATTATTATTTTCTAGCCTCCAAGGGCAAGTCATCCTCAATCTCTTAAGCGTTAACCATTCTTCTAATAGACCTTGCAAGCTCAGGATCGTATCAAATTTTGATAAGTTCAAACTTACACCTCAATTAAGAAGTATATACGGTCGAAGTCAATTGCAGAACTCAACAAGAGTTGAGGTCGATCCCATAGGGAATTACAACAAAAACAAATCTACTAGTTCTTATGTTAAGTTACGGTTGATATTCCCGAAAATTAAATTGCATAAAGTAAATATTGCATTTGTTTTAACATCCAAGCAACCAAATGTATTTGGAGTTAAATAGTAAGAGTAACATACGACAATTCCTAGGTTTGATTATCAATTAGAATAGACTAGAATTGTGTTCCTCATGACCTTTAGACTACAACTCAGATTTCTCACAAATAACAATCTTTTGATACAATGCATACATTCATAGCAAGTTGTGTGCCCTAAAACGCTTTTCAACCCTATTAGATGAATGTCACCCCTCTCCTCTCGGTCTTAGAGTGTTTCAATTTTAATCCTGCATGTTTGTTTACAGAACTATCCTCTCTCGATCTCAAGTCGTCAAAACAAATGATTAAATCAGTCTTTAGAATTTTCTAATCATGTACTTTTCTGTCGAACAAGTAATGAACAGGCAGGTCTTAACGTGTGCACTTATTAGAAAGTATTCAATATGAAAATAGAAATGAAGCATGCTAATATTAATTAACAGTCATTTGTGGTTGATTTTAGCGTTGTGTCCTAGTCATGGTTCCCACAACCCTAGTTGTGGTGCTTAGCTGCACATGTTCTCAACAAAGCATTAATGGTTAAACATTGATGAAAATTTAGAAAAATAGACTTACAATAATGAAAACCAACACTTCTTGATTTAAGAACACGAAATCATTTGGAACTTGAATTTCATTTTTTAAAATTAAAATGAGAAGTTAAAAAGAAAACTAATGAATAATTATTATATGTAAAAGATAATATAAAGTGGACACCGTTCCCACATATTTAGGTGCTCTTACTTGTAGAGTGATTTGTATATTAGGTGTCGATAAAAAGGCTATGAAGTTGGTTAGATTATAAATGCAGGTGATTTACACCTTGTTGGATGGTTCTTACCTATTGTATTGTAGTGTATTGTAGTTAATTGTATTGTTTGTTTAAACACAACGTTTGTTATTTCAATTTTATTGTATTGTATCGTTTGAATTCATTGTCAGATAACGACGAAAAGACTCATTATTTCATGTAACGATTGATTTGGTGTGATGTTAATATTTTCTTCTTATTTTTATTTTTACTTATTATTTAATAATTATATACCATCTGTTACCCTACCTTTTCATAGTAGCTCTACCCCGTAACCTACTGTTTTTTATAGGTTTATTATTCAAATTATGAATGTGTGCCATTATGTAACGACGGCAAACTATACAATCTATCCAAACGTTGTATTCATTAAAACAATACAATACGATACAATATAATGTGATACATTACAATACAATACATAGCAACGATCCAAACAAAGCGTTAGTAGGGAACATTGATAGAAATTAAATTTTCGATTTACTCATAATTTTAGCTCAACGATAAAAGCATAGCAACAAACGAAAATATGATATTTAAGTAGAAAAGGATGATAAAATATACACCCTATATACACTATATGTTTCAAACATGCTTTAGTTGATCTATAAAAATTTCTCGACCATAAGAAAAAATTAAAATAAAGAAATAAGTGTCACAATAATTATTTATCACCTAACTTTTCCCCTGAGCAGTAAAATGAGGAAAATAAGACTACAAAAAAAAGAGTAAAAAGATAACAGAGGAAAATCTAACTACAAGTGAGATCATATTTTGGGGAAAAACGACAAAATAAGAGTAAACGGATAAGAATAATGATAAATCAAACTACAAGTGAGACCAGATTCGCGATTTAAATTTTATGAATTTAACTTTGATTGACTTTGACCGCCTTAATTCATTTAATTTACTTTATTCAAAAATATTATTAGTGATTTTAATAAAATCTGATTCAAAACTATTAAATTTGGATAAAATCATACTACTAATAACTCTTTTTCCTTTCTTGCATACTAAACTACATTGATGTGTGTATAAATACTCTCCTCCTTTAGGCATAGAGATATTCAAAAATCATGAGCAAGAAAGGACTAAGTGTAGTACTCGAAGGCGATGAGGGTTCAAAAAGAAGTACGACTTTCATTGCCCCGAACATGACAACTGAAAAGAAACCTCTTTGTGGGTTTCTTGAATTTTGTTCATTCTGCAAGAAAAAACTCTCACCTAAACAAAATATCTACATGTATATGTGAGTATTCTTCTGTTATTATTTTTTTTCCACTCTTTTTTCGTCACCATTTACATATTTAATAGTGTAATTTTTGTTATGATAGAATTTAAATCGAAGGTTAAATATACTTGATCAAAATTTATTCATAATTGAGGACTAAAAATGTTATTAATGATATATATATATATATTTCTTAAATGGTATAGGGGTGATCAACCATTTTGTAGCGTGGAATGCAGAAGCAAGCAAATATCTTTGGATGAAGAAGAGCTACAAACACAAAGAAAAAACAGGCTGATCAAAAAGCTTCTTCATCTTCGAAGAATTCGAAATCATGCTTTAGTTCAATGTTCTTTTAGCGATCTAGTATTATTTTTGCAACATTTTGTTTCGACTATTTTGTCTTGTTCCTTTTTTTATATATATATTAGTATCGTAAGGGGATTCATGATTTGAACTTTTTGAGTTTAGATTTAGAATCCTATTATATCATGTTTAATTTACTTAGTTTTGAAGTCTATTATTCAGACTCTTTTAGATATATGAAGTATCTTTTTTCGATGGAGTAGAATCATATTTTAAATATTTTATAACACAGAGGTACAATTTGATAATAATAGGAGTAATTTTTATTTTTATTTTCTAGCCTCCAAGTGATGGGGACAATCTATTTTGATAAGCACACATTTTGTTGTGTCATTGTATTGTATTGAATTTATCTCATAGTTCTAAAGTCATTATTAATCTTTGAGCCTTAACTAAAGTAAGATTCAAATCAATGAGCCAATAAACAAGCTCGTTTTAATAGCTTAAGTGATAGTTTGACTATATGAAATCATGCAAAAATACTACATTTGTGTAAACAACTTGGACTCGTGTCCTGATCACATGACAATAACTCATACTGATGCAACGATACTTGCATCCCTTGTGAAAGAAGCGTTTCTAAAATTTGATATAAAAAACAATCTAATGCATAAAGTATTTAGCATTAGCAGAGTTCGATGAAGGGTCATATACCTCAAGTCATCTCTTTGTGACCTATAAATCACAAGGCCAGGCCATGAAAACAACCACTAGTACTTGTATCATAACAATAACTCATACTGATGCTACGATACTTGCATCGCTTTTGAAGGAAGTTCTTCTCAAATTTGATATACAAATAACAATCCAATGCATAAAGCATTCTGTATTAGCAGGATTCAATGAAGGGCCATATGCCTCGAGTTATCTCTTTGTGACCTATAAATCACGAGTTCAAGCCATGGAAACAACCACTAATACTTGCATTAGGGTACAACAATAACAATGTCCATTCATTAATTCAATTGGTTATATCATGATTTCAGTTACTTATTTTTCACACTTAAAAAATTCCTGTGTGAATAATCAGCAATTTTTTAACTCAATAGTTCTAAATGCAATATCAGAGAGAGAGAGACTAGTTGTGTAACTTCTTAATAACCGCCTAAACTAATGAATTACAAGTTACAATCTACTTGGACAAAGAAATAAACAAAACAAAAAATGTAAGAATAAAGAGTATCCAGAATTTCAAATTCTCTTCTTGTTTGAATAATTTTTCCTGCTGTTGAGTGACTAGTTGTGTGATTTGCTCATAAGGGGGAAGATGGAACATCAAGAGTAATACCAGCTTGGATTTCACCCCAACCGATAAGACGCCAGTGCTTCTCGATTCTCCGGCTAAGAGCAATTTTCTCCCCTTTGCTGGTACACACGGGGGACGTCAGTTGCAGTTTCGCGAAAACATTCTTGATAGCGACAACACGAGCGCCTGTTGACATAGACCCTATATTTAACATGAGGATTTCTCCCTTTGCCAACTTCGAGACTCTACCCTGCCTCTCTGAGTCCTTTGTCCTCACACCCAAAAGACGTCGTAGCAAAAAGAAATTCACCTGTGTTACAAAGGGGTATAGAAATAAAGAAAGGATACATAAGAGCACTCTAAGAGGAACCTCAGTTGGAAGGAAGATAAAAACGAGCCTATTTGATAACACAATCATAAAAAAACAAAAAAATAAAAAGAGCCAGTAGTTTGAAACTTAGACAAGAAAAGGTAATTGATTTAAAAATCAGTTCTTTAAGAAAAGACGTTAAAGTCTAAAAAGCCTTTGATGTGTACAAGGAAGTCATTTTACCTCTAGTTCGACATAAACTTCAGGAAGTGACCCGACCTCCCCAAGAACCTGTCCCACCAATCGATCAGCACGTGTCAATGTTGGATCCATAGTTGTTCCAACTCCAATGAGGCCTCCAGGAACGGCAAATTGTAGTTCATTTTGCTCGGCAAACAATGATACTATTCTTGAATATATTGGAGTACATTTGATGTTGCCACTCTCATCTTTCACAACAATTCCAGGACGAATCTCAATAAGTTGATTAACCTTCAGTACACCCTGCGCAAAGAATATAATCAACATTATCTTGAACATCTTCCAATGAGATCTTCATTTCTTCATGTCTACACTCTAATAGGCCTCAGAACATGTTGAAGGGATAATCAAATAAAGATGGCCCTTCAGGCATTACTTGATTGCTTGGTCAAACTAAAAGCCTAACGCTAAAGAAGCTATGAGTTGCATCATTACATTGATTGCAGAAAGAGAGAAAGATACCTTCAAAATACTGCCACCAGCAACACCCCCTCTGATATCATCAACTTCAAAACCAGGTTTATTTACATCAAATGACCGGATAACAATCATATTTGGTGGTGAGATGAAATTCCTCTCAGGAATGGGAATTTTTTTCACAATATATTCACAGACGACATCGATGTTGTACTTTAATTGTGCAGATATTGGTACAACTGGGGCACCATCTGCAACAGTTCCCTGGAAAAGAATTTGAAATATGGTTTTATAATACATCCTGTGAGAGGCAAATGAATTTATACCAGTATTCCACTTACCTGAATAAATTTCTGAATTGCCTCATGCTGGTTGATAGCAACATTCTCCTGAACCAGATCAACCTTATTTTGAAGAATTATTATATGTTGGAGACGCATAATTTCTACAGCAGCTAAATGTTCAGAAGTTTGAGGTTGGGGACAGCTCTCATTGGCAGCTATTAGAAGTAAGGCGCCATCCATAATTGCGGCTCCATTAAGCATAGTAGCCATGAGAATATCATGACCCTGAAGTAAAAGATGTCATATAAAACATTGATATGTCAGGAAATTAAATGCTCAAGTACAATGATATTGTTGCAAAATGAACCTAAACAGCTGGCATAAGGCTAGATGCAGGAGAAAGTGTCTATGCCTGAATTGTTTATCATTGATGCCATTCTTAACGTCCTAGACTTCTTTTAAATCATAGAGAAAGCTAATAGGGACTGCAAGTTAAATAAGAACAGCAAAGCTTATATGTAATGTTGAATATTCATTACAAAAGAAAAACAGTAATAATTCACAGTAAGATTTCTTCTTTGCTACTTCTCTATTGTAAGGATGTATGTCATATCCATGTTCGGTAAGACAATAAAGGTTTATCTGTATAATAAAAACAGAATGCACAAGTAATATTTTAAGTAATACATACAGTAGAAAGTGGCATGTGTGGAACTTACTGGGCAATCAACAAAAGACACATGCCTCAGCAATTTCATTTTGCAGTTCTCAAAACCAGGGACGTCACACATGGGATTGTCTTCTTTTCCACTCCCATAAGCCCTGGAAAGGACTGCTGTTACAACACAAGCTACCAGATGAAGTACAAGAATGATTCTTTCTCAAATCAAGGACTCACTTGTAGCATGCAGGTCTAGGACAGCGCTCTTCTTCACATTTGTATATCTTAGCATTTGCGTATCCAAGCTTAATTGTAATATTACGCTCTAGCTCATTTTTAAAACGAACAGTCTGCAAAAATAAGGGAGCAAATTATTTGCAGTCTGACTACTTTCACCTGACACAGTAAAATAAGTAAGACTAAACAAAGTCCAGACCAAATAAGGACTTACAAATCAACATCTAAGAAATATCAATTGAGCCACAACAGATAAGACAAATCAATTCTCCAAATACCAGCTCTGTGTCATGTTGCAATAGAGGCTAATGTAACAGTAGCTTTGATTCATAACCACCATATAAAGTAGGAGGGCGTGGAACTACTTTACTTTTTAATCATAACATAAGGAAAAGGACACAAAACTCAGAAATGCTTTCTAGTTGCTGAAGTAAATAGCAAATACCCTTAGATATCAAAAGATCAACAGAAAGAATAGTTGTTCTCACAAATACATATGTAAATACGTATATATATTTACAGTTTACTAAGACCAACATATCATTTGGTTGTAACTCAAGAGCAACAGTTAAATAGAGGACAGTCAAATCTGACAAAAGCTTTATTAACTAGTGGCACAGATTAAACTCCATTGATAAAGGACCAGAATTTTAAACACAGACATACCTGTACACCAGATATAGCTTTTACAACTGTTGACTTCCCATGAGCCACATGGCCAATAGTACCTAGAATATTAAATTACATTTCAGTAATTCAGTGTGAGTAATTAAAGTGTATAAACAGCTACCCTGGAGAGAGAATGGAACAAAAAAAAAAGAGGTATATTCCATGTACGAAATAATGTAAGCAATTGTCGAATGCAAGTAATCAATAATTCTTAATTACTAGTTTACCAATGTTTATTGTTGCCTGACGAGCAATAACTTCAGGCGAAAGCGGATGTAGCTTTGTCACATCCAATTTGCTTAGATCTTGCTCCATCAATCCTTTCCGAGACATTTTGACTGATGTTCGATATTTCAGAAGCAAGTTTCAACTCTGAATTTCGGAACAAAGACAAAGAAATTCATCTTCAAAGCCATCAAGTTGAGAAACACATCAGCCTACTCAAAGCATAGGGCTACAGACAACACAGCTTAATCGCCAAAGTTATTTTGTTAATCAGAGAATGTTCAGAATGACTCTTTATTTACTTTGTTTTATTGTCAATTCCATACCAAGGAGATAGAACATTGCTGATCAAAGACCGATCTCCACCCGCCCACGCTTGATGACAGATGGATTCATCAGATAATTCTAACATCCTAGCATCTAGAATTGACATTTGTTTTTTTAATAAATGCATCACTATCACCAATTGACACTATCAGGCTGATTATATTTTTATTTTACAATAGTAGTATCCAGGTTAGCTTGCATGCACTACTCTAATACTCCACTGAGTACCTGCTACAACTCAACCCACCAGCAGTAACTATACACCAAGAATTAGGTGGATGGAAGAATTCGCTTGGAGTTTCCTAAGCTAAGACTAGAATCATGTTAGTTGAATTTAAAGCCAATAAATCATAATAGTTCAGGTTTCAATAAATATGCTCAATTTGATAGGTTATACATAGCAGTGGCATATAAAGACATTATTTCTTTGTTTATAACCGTAGTGTCCGGGCCAGCTTTCGCACACCTCGATTAAATCCAACAGACCTTCCAACTCCCACCACCACCACCACCAAGTATCAGATAACACTATCCACAAAGGCTATGACAGATGGGAAGAAATCACATAGTGTTTTTGTCTCTACAGAGATTCTAAAAAGAAGTTGCTAAATTTCTTTTTCTTTATTTTGATAACCACCAGCTTACGTGCACCTCAATTAATTCCACCACATACTTGTAAGCTCCTACCACCACCAAAGTTAGAACATATTGAAACAAATCAACTAGTGTTTTGTCTCTAACAGGATTTAAACCCGAGACCTCATAGTGCTCAACCCACTTCATTGACCACTACGCCGAGCAAGTTGCTAAATTTCTACCAAAACACTTCCCACATAAAAAAAAAGAAGAAGGTAGTACACACCTTTAACAACTGTAAACATCAATATGTAACTTTTTTTCAATATTCAATACTATTACTATATTATTCAGCGAATGAGGCTTTATTTTTAAGAAATAGAAGCAAAAACAGCAACATGTTAATCCAATTAACTAAAAAATCAGCATTTTATCACTAAAAATCATTCAAAATAGGATATATGTAGAGAGAGAAAGCATGTGAGAGAAAGTTAGCAAAACATACAAATCAGCCGCCGGAGAAGTAGAACAACGAGGAGTTGGCAGCGGCAGCAGCAGAGAGGGCTTGAGAAGAATTAACGAACAAAGCAGTTAGCATTTGGGCTTTAACAATGGGCCAATAGGCCCACTAAAGTGAGTAGTTGGGCCGGTTCTGGGCCACAACCCATGGGCCAGTGGGTCAACCCAGTCCATCATCACTTAATTGTGATTAATTAATTAGTATGTATTTTCGAATCAATTTACTCCAATCTGTATCAAATTATCTAGTATGAATTTTAAAAATAATTGTCTGAAATTGTTTGTGACTTTTCAAGTTCAAAAGTCAAAACAAAATTAATTATTTTTTCTATTTTATCTTTAGTAGTAATTGTTCTAGAAGATTACAAAAATATTTTAATATTGTGTATTTAATAAAGAGATTATATCTTAATTAAGACATAGATGACGATAAGATAGTAAAACATTTCTCCTAATTAATTTTTTTCTTAAGAAGAATGTAAAAAAGAAATACGATAAATAATTTGAGACGAAGAAAGTACTACTCAACCATGAAAACTTTTATTAATTTGGTGTAAATACTAATGGTTGTGAGCAAGTTTTTTCTCGCATTATCAATGGTATTTTGTGGTTACACTAAAGAAAATTGTTACACTTTGTCTACATTTTTTCTATTTCGGACGAACTTACTCGTACTTCGATTATATACCAACTAACTTTCATCAGCATTGATATCATATAATTTTGTTCACTAAAATTTGACAAGATAAAAAGTATTCATCTAATATTTTATGAAATTTCAAATGTTATTACTCCAAATTAATTCTCGAGGCCAATCGATGCGCGATTCAAAATTCAGTGAATAAAGAATCGTCTCTTTACCCTTTTTCACTTAAAAGCATGGATTTTCAATAGCAACAAATTCCATCGCGATGTGCACATAAACCATACATCACGTCATTCTGGACTAAATTCTTAAGAAGGGGCTCAACTGAAACTCATTTGTTCAAAAATTATACGGTATATCTAGGTAAAATGAAATATAATCCATAGATACAGATTGGTGAATTCTTCTTATACAAGGGGAGCATCCTTTTTTTCCCCTCAAATAATCGTGGTGTTCAGATCAGCTTACACTTACTTTTGATTAAATTTACAAAGTATGTGCTACACCTCCCACCAGCATAGATACCAGACCGAGCTTATCACTTAGAATATATGAGAAGTGTTCAATTACCACCTGAAAGTTCCATGCATCTAGTCAATAGACCTGCAAGATCATGCCTTGATCTTCAATATAATGCTAAAAGGGCCATAAATATCTCTGTTGCTTGAACTCTTCAGAAATGTCATTGGGTGTGTCTCGGATAGTCCAAAAGTAGTTCATTTTTGAAGAATACGATACAGATGAGGTAATATTTTTGAAAAGTCCGAACAACATAGCATAATATGGAGAAAGAAGATTGAATATGTTGCTTCTAACATAGACATAAATCACTAGTTCAATACATATTTTATAACTCAGTAAAATCCAAGTGTAGCAGCAAAGGTTTCTATGCAGATAGAAAGAACTTAGCTAACCTCAAGCTACTTCAAAATCTCGAATTTTGGCACAGTTAGCCGTTAAACATTCTTGTTCCAGGAAAGGGCCTTACACACCGAGACAGTGGTTGATCCCGTCAATAGGATCAATGGAATGTCCTTTTTGCCTATGAGCATTTGCACGAAGAAAGGAGCCTCGTACAAAGGGGTGGAAAGAAGGCTAAGGCTGACAATAGTGGCAAAAAGTCTTCTTCTCTTAGTCAGGCTCCAAAGTAAGGACGATATACAAGTAGAACAATAAACAAAAACATCACCAATTGAAGGAGAAGTACTAATTTACGCACAACAGGACCTAACTCCACTACCCTCAGCTCAGCACCAGCAGTTCGCGTCCTGTAAACATAACTACTTCTCCTAACCACATCATCATCATGACCGAAAAATGACCTGAAAATCTCATCAGGATCAAACTCATCACCAAAACTATACTCGTGCCCCGTTCTTCTTCTCCTCACACCACCAACATTACACTCTTGACTATACACGAATTCGTCAGCATAACTTGTCTCATCATACTCTCTCCTGGAACCAACATCACTCAAACACTTAAACGCCTTTGCTACTTTCTTAAACGTGTCTTCAGAACCTGGAGCCTTGTTTTTATCAGGATGAACTTTCAACGAAATTTTTCGATATGCCTTTCTAATTTCATCAACTGAACAACTCTTCTCCAGACCAAGAATCTCATAATAGTCCTTCTTACTCTTAATTCTTCTAATCAACTCCACATGTTCCTCTCTATAATTCATCACATCCCCTGTCTCATTTTTCACACTAGCAACGTCATTTTTAACCTCGTTAGATGTACCACGAATTGATGAATCAAGATTTTCACAAGCAGATAGAAGATCATCCAATGATAAATTTTTATTAAGACGATGCGCGATTCCAATAAATTTTAGGGCTCTCTGTTTATTACCTGATGAAATTGCCTCTTTAGCAATAGTAATGCATCTTAAAGCCTCATCTTTGTTACTATCCATTGTAACATTCAGCTCATCAACTTCAATTCTATTCAATTACAAGCCCTGAAATCGAAATCAAGCTCGAATTAGTTAGTGACAGAGCCAGGAATTTGAATGAGAGGATGAAAAAATTCATCAAATTCTTGCAACAAATAGATATGTATCCATAACGTTAATAATAATGCGTTCAATGCTAAAAACCTTAAAGGTTGAACTCATAAAGTTTAAATTCTGGATCTGCTTCTATAACCAATTACACACCAATGATATTATGATGATTCAATTTTTACAACCACATTAACATTTTTTTCCCTACATTATGAGGGATAGCCCCTGAATTTCGATTAAAAAAGACGTAGACGGATCCAAAATTTATTGTCACTATAATTTTTTCTTCATATATATATATATATATACATAGTTCGAGCCAAAAAATGTAGATTTGATTGAACTTGATGATAATCAATGATCCAGGGTTTTGTTTGACAATTCAAAACCATATGATAAATATATTATAATAATAAGTCTATAAATTAATCAAGAATGACATTGCACAAATATGTAATTGAAGTTTTATGGAATTGTTATCAAACAAATTTATTCATTGATGTTTTTAAAGGAGAAAAAAAATTAAAAAAGGATTATTAAAATTAATAGAAAATGTTTTTTCACCTTCAATGGAAATTGAAGCCTGATGAGCAATGGACGAGAGAGAAGATGTTGCTTGAAAAAAAAAAATTGATTTTTGAGAATGGAAATCTTTTACTTGTAATAGGGCACGAGTCCCAACTAAATTCGAATTTGTGGTGAAAGATGGGTTAAACACTTAAAAGTGCTACATAATAAAGACGATTCCATATTAAGGGCCCGAATCATTATTGTGCTAGTATAAATATGTTTTTTTGACTCAATTTATATAATTTTCTTTTACTTAATTTTTTATTTGATGTTGGACCTTTGTATAGGTGAAACAACCAAAAATAACTATAAAATATTCAGTGGAATTTCATAGATGAAATTTAGAGAGGGTATAATATAAGTAGACCTTATATTTATCTCGTAAAGGTATATAGATTTTTTTCGAACACCCTTAATGAGTAAGTGAAAGTGAAATAAAAGAAAGAGCAATGCTATTGGAAAATATTTAACAACAATTTTTTTACCGAATAAAAAAAAATATGTTTCTTGATGTAATTGAAGAAAAAGACTCATCTATAAATGAATGCATGTGCATAATGAAACTTTATTGTCGAGAGCGGCTCAATAAATTTGATGACCTAATTTTCAATTTACTTCATAGAATCCATGCAATAATGAAATACAAAAGAACATATTTTCTCATCTATATATGGATAAATATTTCAAACATGACAAAGTTAATTTATAGCTAGCTATTCAAAAAAATTGAGTTGAAATTAGAAAGTAAAATTGCTAGAAGCATAAACTAAGAAAATTAGAAATGAAGAAAGAAGAAAATACGCTAACCAATCGAGTCTCAACTATCAACATTGCCAATTATCAAAAATAATTCTACATGTTTGGTTCATGATAAAAAAAAATCAGACTTGCATATGAAAGATTATGTTTAAGACATAAATAAATAATAAACATGTGTTCTCCTCAAATTGAACACATAAACCAATAATAAAATATGTGTGATTTTTCAAATGCATAGTCCACCAATTTTGTGTTGAAGCTCTAGTAATTATAATACACACTTCAATTTGAGTAGTATATAAGTTTTTTAAAAATAAGAATTGATCAAGCATTGCAAGATTTTTTTATGAAAACAGAATAACAAGAACGAATAAGTAAATTAAGGATTCTATAAATCTCAAAGGCTAAAAAGCATAGTTTAAATTCAATAATTCAAAAAAAAAAACAAAACAGATAGAACAACCTTCCACAAATGTTACGTTTGATGGATATTTTACACCAGTATTTTTCATCAATGCATCTTGCTTGAAGATGCACGACAACTAATACATTGACAAGGTGGTGATGGACGTTCACCACTAATTGAAGTGCTTCTGGTTGCCAAAGTGAGCTCCAAACATGGTAACACATTGTTACGAGTTTGCTCATATAAAGTGGGTGATTCATGACTTATAGGATCCGGAACAACGTTTAGACCTGAGACAAAGATCCTCCGATCAATCATCTCAAAAGCAATTGGAGGAGGAGGCACATGCAATTGTTGTCTCCATCTATTTTCAATAACAAAGTACTCAAAATAATATATGGTTCATGAAATAAATTAAATATACTTCTAAAAGTATATGCTAAAGGATTTAATGAGAGAATAAACTTACTCATTTTGTTGGATAATAGCATTTCCATCCACAAAAGTATAAGAAAAAATGTTGCGACCATCTCGTTGAACATTATTAATGGTCATCTCATGCCACGTAAAACTATATTTTATACCACAAAAAATATATTATAAACACACTTAAATTATTCATGCACAAACATTAATTTGAAATCTTAGTT